CAAACCATTAAGGCTTAACCTCAAATAATTTGATAGAGCCTTGATAGTACAGTGGTCTACGTACCCTGTTATTAACACAGCTGCCTGCAATTTCTGCTGGTTCGAATCTCTCCAAAGCTCAAGGTTGACTCAGCCTTCCATCCTTTCTAAGGTAGGTGAAATGAGGACCCAGTTTGTGGGGGCAATAAGCTGACTTTGTATAAATATACAAAAGGATGAAGGCTATTGCTTAACGCATTGTAAGCCGCCCTGAGTCTCTGGAGAAGGGCGGCATATAAATCAAAAATTAAAAAAAAAAATTTGACAGTGTAGTACTAAATAACACCAATACTACTTACAGTAATAATTACAATGCTTTCTTATATTCAGAGCAATGGCCACCATAGATCAGCAACACAGGTAGTTCTCAACTTACAACCATTCATTTAGTAACCATTCAGAGTTACAACCCCACCAAGGGTGGGCTGCTCCGGGTTCGCCTGGGTTCGGGCGATCCTCGAGCGAAGATTCTGCATAGTTCGGTGAACCCCAAAATCCCACTCCTGGCTGGCCCCGCCCACCCCGCCCTTCCCCTCCCAGGAGTCTCCACGCGCCCTGTTATAGATACCAGGTAAGGGTTAGGGTTAGGGTTAGGCTTGCGTGGAGGCTTAGGGATGGCGAATATCAGGCCCATTTCTGGCTTCCGGAGAGCCTCCGGAGCCACAGAGAGGCCGTTTTCGCTCTCCCAGCAGCTCGAGTAAAGCCTCCAGAGCCTGGGGAGGGCGAAAAACGGGCCTCCCACTGTGGTGCAGGAGGCTGATTAGGCCATGCCCACCCAGCAACCAGGCAGAGAACCCGTTGCTAAAACCCCACCAATTGTAAGTCCTAAAAAGGGACTTACAATTGGTCCTTGCACTTATGACCATTGCAGCATCTCCCACCGTGCCATGACTGTGATTCAGACACTTGGCAACCGGAAAGGTTGCTGCATCTTGCAGTCATGTGGTCGCCATTTGCTCCCTTCCCAGAAAGCTTCTGACAAGCAAAGTCGATGAAGAAATCTGGATTTGCTCAACTACCATGGCAACAAAGGTCATAAAATTGGGTGTGACTAAATGTCTTGCTGGTGGAAGTTCTAGTCCCAATTGTGGTCGTAAGTCAAGGACTATCTGTATGGTTGCCAACATTTGGGATAGAGGAATGGGATAGAGAAAAGAGGTCACATATCTATTCAGGCTAGACAGATAGTCCTCCACTTACAACAATTTGCTTAGCGACCATTCGAAGTTACAACAGCCCTGAAAAAAGTGACTTAGGACCATTTTTCACACATGTGACTGTTGCACCATCCCCCATGGTCGGGTGATTAACAACTGACTCCCATTTATGACGTTTGCAGTGTCCTGGGATCATGTGATCATCTTTTGCGACCTTCTGACAAAGCAAAGCCAACGGGGAAACCAGATTCACTTAACAACCGTGTTACTAATTTAACAACGGCAATGATTCACGAAACAAACGTCGCAAGAAAAGTCGTAAGACGGGGCAAAACTCACTTAACAAATGTCTCACTTAGCAACCTCAATTTGGGGGGGTCAATTGGGGTCGTAAGTTGAGGACTACCTGTATTTTAACCAGGGGCTCCTGGTAGCTCAACCTGTGTTTGTAGGCCAATATCCGTTGCAAAAGCTCTTTGCTGCAGTTACATAGCTGGCTGCACCTTGGTGAGATCAGAGGGAAGATAACTGGGGAATGAAGAACTGTAGCTTGACAAGTGATGGGCTGATGCTAATTCATAAGCTTCATTTGACTCCAGAATAGGGACACCTGCCTATATCCCGAATGTTGCTAAACCGGTTGGATGGCAAGCTTAAAGCTTCACGGACCTCAAAAACTGCCAGTTATTCTCAATCTTTTAGGCTAAAAAAAATAATACCTTACCAAGCCCCCTTCATCCAGGGTGTTTGACATCAAAGGGTTAGAAAATGATTTGCTCCACATCAAGAGACCCTTTTTTCATTTTTATCAGAGGTATTTCCAAGAGTAGGTTAAAATAGTAAGAACTGCTCCACGAATGAAGAAGATACTACCAGGATGCTAAGCTCTGATTCTGGATCTTATTAGATCCGTCACAAACTCTTGACAATCTATCCTTTTTTTGAAAGTTGAACATTTATACAGTATGTACCAAACAAGGGTTTTCTATTTCATTTAATGCTGTTCGCAGCTGGTTGAAATAGACAAAAGTAGCGGCTTTGTGACTCTTTTTCAAAAAAGGAGAGTTGTGTGCAGTGGTGGGATTCAAATAATTTTAACAACCGATTCTCTGCCCTAATGACCGGCTGGTGGGCATCAGTGGTGGGTTGCCTGGAGACCTGCTTTAGCTCTGCCTTTTAGGAGGTACACAAATGGGGTAACAGAGCAGGTGCGCCTTTCTCACCATGCCTCTGAAAACATACAGCGGGATTTATGGGATTCCCATTGCATGGATTTGAATGGCGCAGGGGTATATTTAGAATGGTGCTGACTCTCTTTGGTAGCCTGTCGTGATGTCATAGAGAAACTTGTGATGTCAAAAAGCATCTTAATGTAACAAATTAAAGGTGAAGATCCCTTTAGTTTATGCCGGACTCATTTGTTGTTGGTTTTCTGATCAGAATACACAAGTTTTCCACTGCCATTTTTAAAAACTTGCCAGTCCCATTTTACAACGTTGGGATTTTAATTCAGTTCAATCCTCAATTTTAAAACTCACTGTTGACCCAGTGCTGTCAATCTAAAAAGAGACTTTTCTTTTAAGTCCTGTGCTATACAGGTAGCATTTACAATTGTTCATTTAGTGACTTTTTTTGGCAACTGTTGCAGTGTCCTGGGGTCACGTGACCTCCCCAGCCAGCTTCCACAGCCAAAGTTAATGGGGGAAGCCGGATTCGCTTAATGACTGCATGATTCACTTAACAACCATGGCAAAATGATAATATTGGGCATAACTCACTGAACAACCATCTTGCTTAGCAAGACATATTCCGGTCCCAATTGTGGTCATAAATCAAGGGTTACCTGTATTCTGTTTTGCATGGATTTTAATGTTTAATCCCAAGTGCAGGTCAGACTCAAGGTAGAATTTTTGCTGTCCCGTCGTCCTTTTTAGAAGTTTCAGCAGCCGGATTGCCGAGGGTACTTCTTGGAAAGCAGGATCTGCTTCCTTAAGGACAAGGCTCCCTTATTACTCCCTGAAGTGTTATTAGAGAATATACAGTAGTAGCCAAAATTGTGGAAACCTTTTTGGGAAAAGTATTTTTGAGGTTTGATGGCTAATAGCACCACTGTTTTTTTTTGGAGTTTCAAGATAATCCTATTCCACTGCTGGAATGGCCTGGGAATAGCCCACACCTTCACCCAATTGAAAATCTATGGAGCCGACTAAAGAAACTTGCTAGTCAGAAGCAACCCAGCAATAAAACCCAGTTAATAGAAGCAGTCCTTCAATCTCGGTTTCACATTATAACAGCTGCAGAACTAAAAGACTTGGTTCACTCCATGGGAAGACGCTGTAAGGCAGTAATTCACGCTAAAGGTTACCCTACTAAGGATTAACTGACATGGTGATCATTTTTGTATATCTTGTTTTTTCGACGTGTTTCACTTTTCTTCTTTATACTGTAACTGCTCTTCTAATAGCAAACCCTTCATAAAAGTTATTGCATTACATTCTCGATTAGATTATCTTTCCATTGATATATAATTTTACGGTACTACTCCATTAAAAAAAAAAAAGTGGTATTATAAGCTAGTTTTAGAAAATACACTTTTACCAAAAGGTTTCCACAATTTTGGCCACTACTGTTAACACAGGGCTTGCACGATTATTTGACAAGTTTTTATTTTTCACAGCCCAAAATGCACACATCCAGTCTGAGGTCAAAGATGTCTTTAACAAGCCCATCACAAAACAATGCCTGATATGAACAGAAGACAACATTTGTAGCTCACGACTGAACTGTGGGGTCCTTGATGCTCTCTGAGCTTGGCTGCTTTCTTGCAGATGATGTTTCATTACCCAACAAGATAACATCATCAGTGCTAGAAGGGAGCGGGGTTTGCAAACTGATGATGTTACCAAGTTGGGTAATGAAACGTCTGTAAAAAAAAACAACTACTAAGCTCAGAGAGCATCAAAGGACCTCACAGTGCTGTTTTCAAAGGCTAGTCCTCAGTATTAAGTATTCCCAGCAGACTGCCAGTATTGGGATCACAAGATCTACTGGAATAGTCAAGACAGAGGTTCATGGTTTTGTTCATACCTCTGAACACTTTGTTCCTCCATAACATTTTGTTCCCCGGTGGCGCCGTGGTTAGAATGCTTGCAGGCTAACTCTGCCCACAGCCTGGAGTTTGAACCTGACGGGGCTCAAGGTTGACTCAGCCTTCCACCCTTCTGAGGTCAGTAAAATGAGGACCCAAATTGTTGGGGGCAACAGGCTGACTCTAAAAAGCTTAGAGAGGGCTGTAAAATGTGATGGGGTGGTGTATTAGCCTAAAAGCTGCTTCTGTAAGTCACTCCCTTTGCCCAAACTCGTGTTTTCAATATCCTAAACCTCACGGACCCTTCCCAGTTCAGCTCCTTCAAATACATCCTACCTGCACCCAATATTTGAATCCTTGATGTAGAATTTAGGTATGTGAAAGAGAAGTGATTGATACGTTATTCTGCTCCATCCATCCTGAGCTGAAATTCCCTCCCTCCCTCCTTCTGAATGTTGTAATTTTAGAATGGGTAACACGAGCAGGCGGTGAAGGTTTTATCTCCTCTAGCATTCACTGAGCCTCTTGGGGGAAGGAAAAAAAAAAACGAAGAGGAATTTTTCTGCCGGTTCTCCCACACAAAAGCTGAGCACAAAAATGTGTTCCAAGAAGCGAGTGAGTGTGAAGTGTTTCAGACCTGTACTTATGCCACCGGTAGCACTGAGGGAAAAAAATCTTCCACGCTTCTCTTTTAGAGCTGTCAGAAGTGCGAGAAATATGCTACCCACTCATATTTTATTAATAGATTACATATCTTACCATTCTTTCCAAAAAAGTTCATAGCAGCACAGGGCACGCAAATCGTTAATACACCAGAGTTAAAAAGAACCGAGGAAATGTAAATGAAGTTTGCGAAGACGTCTTTCTCCATCTTGCAAGTGCCACGATGGACGAAACCCCAATCTTTGCTTCAAAAGCACAAGGTGCAAAAGTACCCCCCAAAAAAAGTTTCTGATTTTTTTTTTTTCTCCCTGTTAGGCTTTGGTGATGGATCCTTCTCGGATGAGGAAGTCGTAGATCTTCCTGGTCTTGTTCACGTCGATCTTGATCAGGGCTCGGGCCTGGGCTAGCCTGAGGCCTCCTTGTTTGTGGCACTCGTTGACTAAGGCGGCCTTGTACTCTAAGTATGCTCCAGGGACCAACCGTACGATTTGACAGAGCTAGGAGAAACCACTTCTGGTTAGTCATGTGTCCTAAATACCCATCACCCATTCCTCTTCATTTTCCCCCTGTCTCCCACCACCTCCATCGAGACGGCATCGGCTTAATAACCTCTTGATGTTCATTTTACCTCAGTGTTTTTCAACTTTAGCAATTTTAAGATTTGTGGGACTTCAATTCCCAGAATTCCCAAGCCAGCATTGTCACCCTCTCCTCTTCACTTCCTCCCTTTCTCCCAATTTCAGTTAGACTGCATCTGCTTAATAATTCATCGATATTCGTTCTAGATCCGTGATGGGGAACCTATGACATGCGTGCCCAAAGTGGCACGTGAAGCCATGTCGCCTGGCATATGCGGTCTTGCCTGTTTGTGTTCCAGGTTTCTGGTGCATGTGCGACGATCAGCTGTCCTTCACGCACACGGCAGTGGCAAAAACCAGCCAGCTGATCGTCGGGCGCTCATGTGCATTAGAACTTGGATGTTTGGCTTTTCCGGAGCATGGCCCCGACGAGCGTCCCCCGTTTCCGCGTGACCTTTTTGGCACTTGGCACTGAAAAGGTTCGTCATCACTGTTCTACATCAATGATTCTCAACCTTGACAACTTAAAGGTATGTGTGGACTTCAACTCCCAGAATTCTCCAGCCAGCGTCATCCCTTCCCCTTGGTCACGTGGTTGCACTGGGGCCACTCGGCAAACAGGTCGCATTTATGGATATTTGCAGCACCCTGCAGTCACATGACCACAATTTATGATGTTTTCGCTGGAAATTGGCATTTACTTCTGGTTTCTGACAAAAATTGTCCCATAATGAACAATGGGCCTGCTTAAGACTGTGCCTTTTGCTTTATGACTGTGGCATTCGCTTAACAATTGCTACAAAACACCCACACCCACACCCATATTCAAAACATCTGGTCTCCGTAACAGTCAGAAATTCTATTCTTCCAAAATTGGCTGTGTAGGAAAATTTGCTTCAAATACAGCTAGGCGTTCTAACTCAAGAGACCTAGCGGTGCCTAATGCAGGATGACTGATAGGTGCCAATCAGGCAGGCCATCTCTTCACCCTCCCACCCCCCACCCCCCACCAGTAAGATCAGTCAGTCCGTTTTGGTACCTTTTCATAAACCTGGCTCTGCCCAATTCTGAAAAGCAACTACCTGTGGAATGTCTACGAAGATTCTCAGTCTTCCAGTCCATAGTTGTCCCAAAGGTGCTTTTTCAAGAGGCAATTGGACTTTCTTGGGTTTTCTCCTTGAAAACATTTCGCTTCTCATCGAAGAAGCTTCTTCAGTTCTGAGTGAATGGTGGCGATTGGAAGGACTGATATTTCTTGCAGTCTTCCTTCCTTTCCCCATCATTCAATCAGAACTGAAGAAGCTGCTTGGATGAGAAGCGAAACGTCTTCAACATAAAGTCCAATTGCCTTTTGAAAAAGCACCTTTGGGACTGAGGCATGCAGACAACAGGTTTATATGCTAGACATTACATGACAAGCCCTCCCTAGGTGGCTCAGTGGCTAAGACGCTGAGCTTGTTGATCAGATAGGTCGACGGTTTGAATCCCCAGTATAGATCTCCTGCATGAGCAGGGGGTTGGACTAGATGACCTCCAAAGTCCCTTCCAACTCTGTTATTGTCTTCTGGAGGCTGAAATAGGAGCTTATGAACCTGCCCTTTGCCTTAGTAACGCCAGAATAGTACCAATAGTAGTTGCTAAAAACTCTAGCTCCCTTCTTAAGTTCCCAGTGTTATAATGATTGCAGTGGAGACACCAACTGCCCACTTTTCTCCCTTTACACTAGTAAGAAAATGCTCTGATATAACCCAGCAGAACAAAACTGCCACCACCAAAGAAAATGAATCTTCTGTCAAGGCTACAAGAATGTTGTAGATGAAAAATGTTCACCTAGGATATTGAGAGACATGTAAAATATCAGCTGAATTTGTCTTGAAGGTTTGGAAGATTTGAGGGGAAAAGGCAGCTAGTCTCTTCCTTTCTTGAGAAGAAGGAAGAAAAATAATCCAAAATATGCCCATCTTGTTATTTTAAGGCAGAGTTTTTCAACCTTGGTTACTTTGAAGACGTATGGACTTCCCCAGCCAGCCAGCCAGCTGCCCATGCTGGCTAGGGAATTCTGGGAGTTGAAGTCCATCCATCTTAAAAGTACCCAAGGTTGAGAAACACTGTTCTAGAATATTTTTTTTGCTTCATGGAATTTGCTTTGGCTGGGGAATTCTGGGAGTTGAAGTCCATCCATCTTAAAGTAGCCTTGGTACTACAGTGGTTTAAAGCACCCTGTTATTAACACAGCTGTCTGCAATTTACTGCTGGTTCGAATCTCTCCAAGGCTCAAGGTTGACTCAGCCTTCCATCCTTTCTAAGGTAGGTGAAATGAGGACCCAGTTTGTGGGGGCAATAAGCTGACTTTGTATAAATATACAAAAGTATGAAGGCTATTGCTTAACGCACTGTAAGCCGCCCTGAGTCTCCGGAGAAGGGCGGCATATAAATCAAATTAAAAAAAAAAAAAAAAAAAGTACCCAAGGTTGAGAAACACTGTCCTAAGGGCTTCCATTCAGGAATTCATCAGGAGTTGAAGGAAGCTTTCAATATTTTTAAAGGCTAATTTCTCTTTTATAAAACCTGCATTCCTTTCCATTTTTGCACAGGAAATTCATTTCTTCTAATTGTACTGTGAGTTTTTGAAAATAAAAAAAAATAACTGAGTCTACGAGGGTGACAGGGAAAAATATTTAGGCCTGTGTGTGTTCCTAGGGCTGGCATTTCCACTGGCCACTTATACACACAGGTATTGTGTGATTAGGCCGTCAGGCAATGCCAGCATTTCAACTGACCCACATTTGCAGGCCGTTCCCAACAAACAATGGTGGTTTCCTATGAAATAGTGATGGAAAAAGATTACACCAGCAGGAAATAGGCAGCATACTCCCTGCATTAGACCTGACTTGCATAACTGTCAAGTCCATGCAGGAATTTGGGGCTACAAAAACTTTGATGAGGTACAATCCATACGGTCTTAACGAGACCAAGAGTAATTTAACATGAGGGTTAAATGAATCCCCATTACCTCTTTTTCCTTCTCGTTCAGCTTTTCCGTTCCAGGGAGACCGGTGAGGTTCAACGGAGGAGCACTTCGTCTACCTATGGAAAGGTAGAAGCTCTGGTTAGAAAGAGTCAGGATTTGGGGAGCCAGCTCTGGCAATTATTTTCCACGTGGAGTGCTGGTGGATTAGAAGGGGCGGGTGTGTGTGTGTTAGAGTTAAAATGGGGGGGTGGATAGATTTATTAAAAATGGTGCCCACTGTTTTTGACCAACCTGGGCCTGGTTTTTTTTTTTTTTTTTAAATTTGATTTATATGCCGCCCTTCTCCGGAGACTCAGGGCGGCTTACAATGCGTTAAGCAATAGCCTTCATTCTTTTGTATATTTTATACAAAGTCAGCTTATTGCCCCCACAAACTGGGTCCTCATTTCACCTACCTTAGAAAGGATGGAAGGCTGAGTCAACCTTGAGCCTTGGAGAGATTCGAACCAGCAGAAATTGCAGGCAGCTGTGTTAATAACAGGGTGCACTAAACCCCTGTACTATCAAGGCTCTGTTCTGAGAGGGCCATAAAAAGTTACCTCTGGGATGTGCAACTAGAACAGGGGTCTCCAACCTTGGCAACTTTATGACTTGTGGACTTCAACTCCCAGAATTCACATGCGCTGGCTGAGGAATTCTGGGAGTCGAAGTCCACAAGTCGTAAAGTTGCCAAGGTTGGAGACCCCTGAATTAGAATTACTAATGCATCAGTGGAAGGACGTGTGTGTGTGTGTGTGTGTGTGTGTGTAGAAACCCCAATATTTTTCATCAAAGCAGCCTCTTGTGTGGCAATGGACGAACCTGAATGCCATTAATTACCAGTAATCGGGAGCCGTGGCGACCTAGTGGTTAGCGTGCAGTATTGCAGGCTAACTCTGCTCACTGCCAGGAGTTTGATCCTGACCGGCTCAAGGTTGACTCAGCCTTCTATCCTTCCGAGGTTGGTAAAATGAAGACTCAGATTGTTGGGGGAAATTGACTCTGTAAATCACTTAGCGAGGGCTGTAAAGAACTATGAAGTAATATATTAATCTATGTGTGATTGCTAAGTAATCTGTGATTCTGGGGCTACCTTCCAATACAGGGGTGTGCAATTGATTTTCCCAAGGGAGTTGCATGAGAAACTGGATGGAACTGTTGCGGAAGGCTGAATCGATAGGGCTGTGAAGCTGCATAGAAATGCCCGCTCGCACATATGTAAATTGAGGGAAAAAAGGCTTTCAAAATAAGAGCAAGGGCCCATGAGGGCCAGATCAGAGGTGGGTTTCAGCAGGTTCTGACCAGTTCTGGAGAACCGGTAGCAGAAATTTTGAATAGTTCGGAGAACCGGTAGTAAAAATTCTGACTGGCCCCGCCCCCCCATCTATTCTCTGCCTCCCAAGTCCCAGCTGATCGGGAGGAAATGGGGATTTTGCAGTAACCTTCCCCTGCCACGCCCACCAAGCCACGCCCACAGAACCAGTAGTAAAAATTTTTGAAACCCACCACTGGGCCAAATGCTGCCCAGGGGCCATAAAATGCCCAGGTCTGTTCCAAAGACACCAATAATTAAGGAATCAGATCAGGTCTCTTTTTCTCTTTTGGCAGCCTATTAGGGTTACCCAGGCTCTATTTGGTCCTGCCATTTCCGACCCTGGCAAGAAACACTGATGGATTAAAAAGTTGACGCTACTATGCAGGTAGTCCTCAATTTGCAACCACAATTTCTGTTGCTAAGCGAGACAGTTGTTAAGTGAACTTTGTCCCGTTTTATGACCTTTCTTGCCACAGCTGTTAAATGAATCACTGCAGCTTTTAAGTTAGTCACACGGCTGTTGTAAGTGCCTCTGGCTTCCCCCTTGATTTTGCTGGTCAAACAGAAGGGTGTGCAAGAGTCCATCGCATGACCCCCGGGACAATGCAAATGTCATAAATGTGGGCCATTTGCCAAGCATCCAAATTTTGACCAACGTGACCGTGGGGATGCTGCAATGGTCGTTAAGTATGAAAAACAGCCGTAAATCACTTTTCTCAGTGCGGTGGTAATATCGAACGGTCACTAAACAAACGGTTGTAAGTCGAGGACTATCTCCTGACCCAAGGAGAAAGCTCCCGCAGTAGACAAGAGGAGAATTCGGTAACTGACTGATTTGCCTTTGCTATACACCTCGGCATTTCTAGATAGCAATCTAGAGAATTTAACAGGATCCCGTGGGATTTAAACACGCAGGATGATAGCAATCTTCCAAAAGGGAAGGGCTGCTCCATGGAAGAGGGAGTAGCTCGATTTTATCCACAATGTCTAGATAGAACAAGAAACAACAGGTGGGAGTTTTACAGAAGCAGATCCCTACTTCAAAGGAGGAAGAACATCCCGAGCTTAAATTATGAAGAACTGGGAAAAGTCCTGGAATTGGGGTGGAACCTTTATTGATTTTCTACTCTCCTCTACCAGTAGTGCGGTAGCAGCAATGGCTTGAATGCACAATGGCCAGCCACGCACCACAGGATCCACCAGCTTTGACAAAAATGCTACTGCTTTCTTCTTTCCGGCCCATGTTTGAGCTAGGACTTCTTTAGCTATGCCTTCTTCGACGGCTACAAACAAGTGGAAGGGTTTCTTTAAATCAGGCAGGCTCAACACCAGAGCTTTTTAAAACTCTTCTACTCTTTCCATATCACCTTCTTTCCATTCCACTTCCCATGGTTCTTCCTCCAGCTATCTTTCCATACAAAAATTTTAACTTTTTCTGTGTATCCATCTATCCACAGTTTACAATACCCTACCGACCCCAACAACTTTCAAACCTCCTTTTTATTCTTTGGTTTGGGTTGTGTTACTATCCGTTCTGGATTTATTTTCTTACTTCCTTGACTGATCAAGTGTCCTAAATGCTTTACTTCAGATTCTACAGACTGCAATTTCTTCTGCGAGATCTGCAACTTTACCGGTGGAAATGTCACTGCCATTCCGAAGGGGAGGGTTGGGGATGCTTCTTGGGGCCTGATTGCTTTGAATGCTTTCGCTGCAATCCCATGGGAATTAGGGAGGGGGACTGGGCCTTCAGGATGGATTCCCTCCCAACCGGTTCCAGCCTGTTACCCAAGGCCTCAGCAACCCGTTATCACCATCCCGCCTCGGGGTTTTCATAACACCTATGTGGCATTGGATTGGCTACTGGTGGACAAGGGGCGCTGGTTGAACAGGGAAAATTAGCATAAGGCTTTATGCTGGGATCTTCAGGCATTGCCTGGCTTGTCTGCAATCACTTCACTTGGGTAAAAGTTCCTTTTGAAATACCGTTTGTTTCAAGAGCCATACTTTCCTGAGACGATAGCTAAGGCTGATCCTTACGGAAAGTTTTAAAGCAAAGGTTGGGGGGGCTGTTGATCTATGATGGCCTATAAGACAGGGAACGGCTGTGAAAGTTGGACCATAAGGAAGGCTGAGCGCCAAAGAATTGAGGCCTTTGAACTCTGGTGCTGGAGAAGATTCCTGCGAGTCTCTTGGACTGCAAGGCGATCAAACCGGTCAGTCCTAGAGGAGATCAACCCTGACTGCTCTTTAGAAGGCCAGATCCTGTAGATGAAACTCAAATACTTTGGCCACCGAATGAGAAGGAAGGACTCCCTGGAGAAGAGCCTAATGCTGGGAAAGATTGAGGGCAAAGGAAGAAAGGGACGTCAGAGAACGAGGTGGCTGGATGGAGTCACTGAAGCAGTCGATGTGAGCTTAAATGAACTCCAGAGGATGGTAAAGGACAGGAAGGCCTGGAGGAACGTTGTCCATGGGGTCACGATGGGTCGGACACGATTTCACAACTAACAACAACAAATAAGACAGGGGTGTCCAATCTTGGCAACTTTAAGTCTTGTCTTATGGGAATTGAAGTCCATAGGTCTTAAAGTTGCCAACTTTGGACATCCTTGGTCTAAGAATTCCTTCCTGGGCAGGATTCTATGGTTCTAAGCATTTATCTAGCAATGAAGCCCCATCAGGTTATAGGTAGTCCTCAACTTACAACCACAATTGAATTACAAAATTTCTGTTGCTTGGAGACAGTCAATATAGCCCCATTTTATGACCTTTCTTGCTACTGAAGTGAATCACTGCAGTAGTTAAAAGTTAGTAACACGAGCAATGTCAATGGGGAAGGCAGATTCTCTTAACAACCGTGTTAAGGTCGCAGAAGTTGATCCCGTAACCCCTGGGACATTGCAACCATCATACATATGAACCAGCTGCCAAGCCCCTGAATTCTGATCATGTGACCATGGGGAGGGAGATGCTGTAACGGTCGTAAGTGTGAAAAACGGTCATAAGTCACTTATGTAAGTCACAAGTCAGTGCCATTGTAACTTTGAATGGTCACTAAATGAACCATTGTAAGTTGAGGACTACACATATAACAATCATTCCAGATTCAATTATGGTTGTTAAGTCGAGGACTTCCTGTAATTGGCATTTTAGGATATTTTGCAGGAAATAAAGGAGCAGAATAGAATAGAATAGAATAGAATAGAATAGAATAGAATAGAATAGAATAGAATAGAATAGAATAGAATAGAATAGAAGAGAAGAGAATAGAATAGCAGAGTTGGAAGGGACCTTGGAGGTCTTCTAGTCCAACCTCCTGCTTAGGCAGGAAACCCTACACCACTTCAGACAAATGGTTATCCAACCTCTTCTTAAAAACTTCCAGTGTTGGAGCATTCACAACTTCTGGAGGCAAGTTGTTCCACTGAATAATTGTTCTAACTGTCAGGAAATTTCTCCTTAGTTCTAAGTTGCTTCTCTCCTTGATTAGTTTCCACCCATTGCTTCTTGTCCTGCCCTCAGGGGCTTTGGAGAATAGCTTGACTCCCTCTTCTTTGGGGCAGCCCCTGAGATATTAGAAGACTGCTATCATGTCTCCCCTAGTCCTTCTTTTCATTAAACTAGACATACCCAGTTCCTGCAACTGTTCTAAGCCTCCAGTCCCCGAATCATCTTTGTTGCTCTTCTCTACACTCTTCCAAGAGTCATCATTTTGTGTTATTCTTGGCATTATTGTAAAAATGGAACAAGTGATTTCCTTAAGGAGAGGCATGAGATCCAGTGGACAGTGGAATCCTTGTGGTTATTGTGTGTTGGGCCATATCTTGCCACACAGTGGACAGGCAATTTTGGGTCATTCAGAGCACATCTGACAGGCAGGGTGGATTCTTCTGACTGGTGTCTAATTTTCTGAGCAAGTTCAAATCCTGAACAGGTGACACACCAGACACCAGCAATGTAGCCGAATGACTCACACTGAAACCTGCTCACATTATGTGAGGTAATCGCTGGAAAGATGCAGTTAAGAAAATGAGTAGGAACACTTACTAAGCAATGAGCTGTCACAAGAGAAATGCCATTATTATTATTTCCCCTGAAATGAAACTAAAGCTGACAAGTCTTGTGCCACCTTCAAAGATTACGGTGCCGTGGCTGAAGTCCACCAGATGCCTTCACCGTTTTTTTCTGAGCTAGGACTATATATATATATATTTATACATGCACACCAAGGTGTGGGTGGGAGAAAAGGGAAACAGTGAGCTCCGAGGGAAATGGAAATGCCAGCGATAATTACCTTAATGGGCAGTGGCTTAAAATGAGAAAAGAACAAGAACAAAACAGCTTGCAAGTTTTTAGCTTGGAGCAAATGCAGGTGAGGAGACGCCTTCCCATTCAACAGCTACATTTTCCTTTCCCCTTTGAGATTCTACAGGAACGTTAATTACTAATGTGTTTCGTGTATGCCTCATTTTGAATTCTAGTGATTCCCAATTTAATATCAAGATCCTGACTGGGGAATGACATCCTAGGATTCATTTTATGGGCACATGCCGTACATTCTTGTGAACACATGCAAAACAATCACATACGTAAGTGTGAGTGTGTCACAGGCTTGTATGTCATTAATGCTTCAATTGGGTTAAGGTTTGGTCTATTCCCAGGCCATTCCAGCAGTGGAATAGGATTATCTTGAAACTCAAAAAAAAAAAAAAAAAAAAAAAAGTGGTGTTATTAGCCATCAAACCTCAAAAATACACTTTTCCCAAAAGGTTTCCACAATTTTGGCCACTACTGTACAGTATAATGATGAACAGATAGGCAGAGAAAGAAATACCTGAATTTGACGTAATTGGTACTGTGAGAGTCAGGCCAGAATCGCTGTAAATAAATTAAAAAAAAAAGGAACAGGTTAGCCAAAAGTAAGATCCACACATTAGGGTTAAGCAGAGCTTAAGGCAGGGGTCAGCAACCTGTGGCTCTGGAGCCGCATGTGGCTCTTTCCCCCCTCTGCTGTGGCTCCCTGTCACTCAAAATATGCATGACAATAGCCAATGTGCGACACCCGCCAGCACGCGATTTATTGAGCTTTTCAACCCCCGATAGGCCAACCATGGATAAATCCAAGAAAAGTTTCAGAAGAATACAGAACGTTTAATTCAACAACATATGCTAGTTTTGTGGCTGCTCAAGACACAGGAAGGTTTTGTGGCTCCCGGTGTTTTCTTTTCTGTGGGAAATGGGTCCAAATGGCTCTTTGAGTGTTTAAGGTTGCAGATCCCTGGCTTAAGGCAAAGAAAAGAAGGGGACTTGATAATAGTTGTTTCTTCAGCTGTAATACAGGTACTCCTTGACTTATGACCATTTGTTCGGTAACCATTCAAAGTTACAATACTGAAAAAGGGGACTTATGACCGTTTTTCACACTTAACAACAACGGTTGCAGCATCCTCAGGGTCCTGTGATCAAAAAAGTCGGATGCTTGGCAACTGGCATGATTTACGACGGTTGCAGTGTCCTAGGGCCATGAGAAAAACTCTTGAAATCTTCTGACAAGCAAGGTCAATGGGGGAGGGCTGAGTCACTTAACAACCGTGTTACTAACGTTAACAACTGCAATGGCGAGTAAGGTTGTAAAATGGGGCAAAATCACTTAACGACTGTCTCGCTTAGCAACATACATTTTGGACTGTGGGCCTTCAACAGACAGCAGCTAAATGACCCTATCTGGTTTGAGTTTTTACTCTTCAGATGTACACAGTCCAGCTGAGCAACAGACCGAGAGAATAAAAGCTCTCTCTAAGCGTCTGCCATCTTCAGCTTCTTCGCTGGTATCCTGCCATAAAATGCAAGGGAGGGGGGGGAGGAAGGAATTTGTGGATCAGGCATGAGAATGGGGAAGACAAAAGGAGGGGGGTGGAAAACACAAGCCGACGGGAAGCAGAGGTGTCAAATTGGAAAGAGCCAGCCGCCACGGACACATAAAGCTGAGGTGGCGCAGTGGTTAGAGTGCAGTACTGCAGGCTACTTCAGCTGACTGCTAGCTGCAGTTCAGCAGTTCAAATCCCACCAGGCTCAAGGTTTGACTCAGCCTTCCATCCTTCCAAGGTGGGTAAAATGAGGACCCGGATTGTTGGGGGAAATATGCTAACTCTGTAAACCGCTTAGAGAGGGCTGTAAAAGCACTATGAAGCGGTATATAAGTCTAAGGGCTATTGCTATAGCCTGAGAATAGAATGCGAATTGAGAGGCGCCAACGCCTCTCAATTCAGTTCTCAAAGCAGTTCTCAAAGCATCAGGAAGGAATACAGGTAGTCCTCGACTTACAACAGCTCATTTAGTGACCACTCGAAGTTACAACGGCACTGAAAAAAAAATGACTTATGTCCGTTTTTTAACATGTATGATCACTGCAACATCCACATGGTCAGGTGATTTTCCCATCAGGTGCTTGACAAATGGTTCCTATTTATGACAGTTGTAGTTTTCCCGGGATCACGTGATCCTCTTTTCTTGATCTTCAGACAAGCAAAGTCAATGGGGAAGCCCGATTCACTTAACAAATGTGGTAAGGAAAAGTCGTAAAATGAGGCACAACTCACTTCACTGGTCACCTCTGAGAACCTGGCTGGATGTCTCATGCTGGCCTGTTGCGGGAAAAGGAAGTTTCCTAATTGTTGGTCCTAACACTATGACTAGAGGTTGGAATGATGTCAGGCACTCAATGCAGGAGAGTGCCAATACTGGGTGGCACAATTTTCAGAAGCCAGAGAGATGGTTGGATCCCTGCCTCGCTTGGCACATCAAATGTACATCCTGCTTCCCAAGAACAATTGCTCATATCTTGGAACAGAAAATAGGAACATATGCTTTGCTTGGAAATGAGCCACTCTGGTTTAGTGGTTAAGGCACCAGGCTAGAAACTAGGAGACGGTAAGTTCTAGTCCCGCCTGAAGCATGATAAGTCAACTGGGTCACTTTAGGTCAATCATCAGGAGATGGTGAGTCCTTGTCCCACAAATAGGCATGAACAGGGCAGCCGGTTCACTTTGGACTAATCATCAGGAGATGGTGAGTTCTAGTTCTGCCTTAGGCATGAAAACCGGCTGGGTGACTTTGGGCCAGGCCCTCTGTTTTCAGTCCAACCCAGCAACAAGATTGTTGTTATGGGTTTAAATCGGAGGAAGGAAGGAATTATTAGGTATCTTCACAGGCGTGAGTTATTCATTAAAAAAATAATAATACAGATGTGATATAAATAAATATATGTATAAAAATGTAAAAGAAATCTGGTCCTATTCTGTTTTTTTACCCAAGATTGGCAGAGCTCTCGAAAGAGGAATATATAGCTAGTGGCTTCTTTTTTGTGTTACCTGTCCATTCATTCCTCAAGCAAACCTGCCTGTTTAATAAAAAAAAATACCAATTTCCTTTCTTTTTTTTTTATCTTCTAAGCTCAAAATGGGACGTACATGTCAGCTTGCCGGCTGAGCCACTGCTGGCAGGCGCTGCTGTCCTGGATGTACTGCAGGACTTCAGAAAGCATGGTGCGTTTTAACCGTTCCTCTTCCCGCACCTTCTTCAGACGATCGTATGTCCTCGCACCTGTGTCCAAAGAACAGAAAGGGGAATGGTGGGTGTCAGAAGAGTGCTGGGGCAGATTTTCGCAACCCCCACAGTTTTGCCCCTTAAAAAGTATGTCAAGACTGCCATCCTGCTACAACCACCCCTCGCCAGATGCCATAGGCCCGTGATGGCGAACTATGGCACGTGTGCCACAAGTGGCATGCAGAGCCCTCTTTGCAGGCACGCCAGCTGTTGTCCCAGCCCAGTTGCACCACGCATGCGCACATGCCTCCCGCCGGCCAGTTGGTCTTTGGGTCTCTGCCGCACATGCGCAGGGGGTGGGACACATGCATGGGGGGCGGGCAGGTGGGGCACATGCACGGGGGGGGAGGGCGCTCACATTGCATTTTGGGGGTTTGTGTGTGCGTGCCCATCCGCATCCCATTTTGGGCCTGGAAGGCCTCCTGCACCTACCTGGAAGCCAAAATGGGGCACGGGGGAGGCTGGGGCGCATGCGGGGGGGGGGGGGGGGGGGGTGGGGGGGGGGGCACACCTGTGCATGGGGGGGGGGCACATGAGCGGGGGCGGGGGGCATTACATTTTGGGGGTTCGGGCACGCGTACCCGAATGCAAATGCATGCATGCTTTGGGCACTCAACACCAAAAAGGTTAACCACCACTGCCATAGGCAATGTGGGGAGGGAGCTGTGGGGAATAGAAGTGAGGCTGGGATAAGGGGCAATCAAAACTAATCTTTGTGGCGTCCTATGGGAGCCGCTGGCAGTTCCAAGGTCATGGAAAGGAATGCCGCACCATCCAGGCCGCCAAGCCAGGGAGTGTTACTGAAATAATTTGTTTGAATGTAATCGGGACAGTTAAAGATAACTAGGGGAAAGGTGGGGAGAAGGGAAAAGTTAAGCAGATGCTTTGGGCGTGAACATCCCAGATCTGGCTTTGCTACATTGTAACCACTTGGCTTTAGTAAAGTGTACTTTCGTGAACAATGGAGTCTTTCTTTCCTAACTGACCAAGTTGGGATGGCTGACAGCGGCGACAATCTTATACGCACAAAGATGGAAAGACACGCTAATTCCCACAATGGAAGAGTGGATAGTGAAGGTGATGGTTGGCGGAGAAGGCAAAATTGATTGTTTTAATTAAAGAGAAGACTTTAGCTAGTTTTGTTTTTAACTTGGAAACAGCTTTTGGACTTTTTGCTTAAAAAGGGGAAAAAAATGAAATGTTGATTTTAGGTTTTAATGATTAGACTGATTTTGCTATTATACAAATGGCTTGAAATGTTGTGTTCAAAAGGTTAAAGTTGTATTTTGGGGTTTTTTTTTTGTATTTTACTGTTGTGAAAAAAGTTGGTCACAAATTTTCCTTCTCTCCCTCTCCTCTCTCTCTCTCTCTCTCTCTCTCTCTCTCTCTCTCTCTCTCTCTCTGTTATCTAACTTCTTTTTCTATGTATTTTTATTCTATAATGAAACTTAAAAGATTTTTTAAAGTAACAAAACTCTCATATGTAGGAAGATAATAAACGTAAAATACAGTGGTGCTAACCTTTATCATAAATGCACATGGCCAATGAGTCACTTAAAAACATCCTAATATTTATCAGACATGTCAAAACTGAATACTTCTATAAATAACTCTTACAGAGTGTTTTTTTTTAAAAATTCAGATGCAATGAAATCCAAGTGATTGACATTTCCTGTTGGGCTTTGAGAAGTCAACCAGATTTGCTGGAGGAAAATAACCTGGCGAGACCTATTTTCTCATAACTACTGAGAATGGCTATCATCATAAACGATTTAGATGAGGGAATAGAAGGGGAACTTACCAAATTTGCAGATAAACTGGCAGGAATAGCCAACGCCCTAGAAGATAGACTCAAGATCCAGATGGATCTTGACAGACTTGAACACTGGGCCCTATTTAACAAAATGAAATTCAACGTAGAGAAAAGTAAAGTCTTACACTTAGGCAAGAAAAACCAGAGGTACACATATAGACTGGGTGAAACCAGGCTTAATAGCAGTAACTGTGAGAGGGATCTTGGAGTCTTGGTGGACAACCAGTTAAATATGAGCCAACAGTGTACGGCGGTGGCCATAAAAGCGAACGCAATCCTAAATTGCATTAACAGAGGGATACAATCAAGATCAAGGGAGGTACTAATACCACTCTATAAAGTAGAGTCTAAGTGTGGTCTTAGTAAGACCACACTTAGAATACTGCATCCAGGTTTGATCACCACACTATAAAAAAGATGTTGAGACTCTAGAAAGAGTGCAGAGAAACCAGGATGATGAGGGGACTAGAGGCTAAAACATACGATGAACGGTTGCAGGAACTGGGCATGGCTAGTCTAGTGAAGAGAAGGACCAGGAGAGACAGGATAGCAGGCTTCCAATATTTGAGGGGCTGCCCCAGAGAGGACTGGGGGGTCAAGCTGTTTTCCAAAGCACCTGAAGGCCAGACAAGGAATAATGGGTGGAAACAGATCAAGGAGAGATTCAACCTAGAAATAAGGAGAGATTTTCTGACAGGGAGAGCAATCAACCAATGGAACAGAAGTTGCCTTCGGAAATTGTGGGAGCTTCATCACTTGAGATTGGATTGCCATTTGTCAGAAATGGTGTAGGGCAGTGATGGCGAACCTTTTTGCCACTGAGTGCCCAAACCAGAACGTGTGCATGTCTACACGCCGGAGACCCGAAGACCAGTTGGCTGGTGCAACATGATGGGAAAAAAAAAAATCATACTGTAAAATCAAGATTTAGCTGGGGATTCCAGCAATGGGAACAGATTTGGTTGAAAAATATGAAATTAACCATGGCCTTCTCATATAAAGAAAACATATATAAAATGGTCTACCGGTGGCATCTCCCACCCGGCGAGATTAGCTAAAATGTTTCCCGGGACATCTGCCTGCTGTTGGAAGTGCGGTTACAGTAATGGAACCTATTTTCACCAATGGCTGTTAAATATTGGAAAAAAATACGGCAATGGATTTTGGAAATTACACAGATTAATTTGGAATTAAGGCCTGAGATTTTCCTATTGGGGGCAAAACCTTTGAATGTTAAATCAGATATATGGTTCTTCTTGATTCACATTATTACTGCAGCAAGATTAGCGTATGCGCAGGAGTGGAAAAATCAATACTTACCGATAGATTTGAAAATAATATATAAAATTAATGAGTGTGAGGAATCAGATAGATTAACTAGATTGATCAATGGTAAAAAAGATTCAGAATTTTATAACAGTTGGAAAGTATGGTACGATTGGGTCCAGAAAAGGTGGGATAGAATAGATATATGATGATGTATATATATGATGGCAAATATGTATGTATAAAGGAATGACTTTATACTTATGGACAATGTAATCACATTATACCATGGTGGCAGGATTGTATATTTTATTGGTGTATTGGTGTATAGAATATATTAATAAAAATTATATATATATATAAAAAAAGATTTAGCTGGGGATCCTGAATGGCTGGTTTGAAATCTCTCATATTGACAATTGTTGGGCACTGCTGACAGTAGGTTATTATTTTTTTTTCCCTAGCAGGAAGCTGGACTCTAATGACAGAGCACATAGTTACTGCATTGTCTGATGAAAGGACTCACATGGGTTTGTGACTCAGGCAGCTCGTTCTCAGGTGAATTGGTCACTGCTCCAGAATTTAGCAGCTGCCATCTGGGGCATCCCCTAAATATCCACCTTCTTTGCAGAATGCGGATTCTTTTCAATTATAATGACTTGAGCCTTTGTCACTAATAGCTTAGGTTTCAAAGCACACATTGGGTTTTTTTTTTTTTTTTTTTTTTCATTTAGGAGTGGCAACACCACAGAACAGACAGAGGCAATTCCTCTATACAGGTAGTCCTCGCTTAATGCTCATAATTGGGACAAGCAAGTTGGTTGCTAAGTGGGAAAATCACGTGACTGCAAGGGCTAATGCCCTCACTTTCTTTTCCATCACGGCCACCTTGCCATAGGACAAATCACTGCAGGAGAAGAGTTACATTAATATCAAAGAAATGGTGGAATAGAATCATTACATAAGATCTCCGACCTCCGGGTGTTTCGCTGCGCTCTGAAGACCCTGTTGTTCCGCCAGGCCGGGCTATTAACATAACGTTTTAAATTGGGGTATTTTAAATTTCTGGGATTTTAATTGGAGCCTAATTATTTAATGATTTTAAATTTTAATTGTTGTTTTTGTTTCTGTGTTTTTAAATAGGCTGTCCACCGCCCTGAGTCCTTCGGGAGATGGGCGGTATAGAAATAGAAATAATAATAATAATAATAATTACAGAAAGGATGCAAAAGGAGGGACAGAAAGAAATGTGAATGGCAAAAACTAAAATAATTTTTATTTATTTTAAATAATTAAATAGAATTGTTAAATTGTCTCGTGGTGAGTTGGCCGGGGCGACTTGTCCTCCGCTAAGTTGCCCATGGTGAGTTGGCTGTGGGAAGTTGTCCCATTCCTGCTGTAGTCACTAAGCAAAGCATCACAATTACAAATTTGCTTCCACCATCTTTATTGACTCTGTTTGGAGTGGTGCGGTGGCCTAGAGGTGGAGCTCTCGCCTCACAATCAGGAGGCTGTGAGTTTGATCCTAAGTAGAGGCAGATATTTCTCTCTCTCTGGGCATAATGAGAAACTATCTGCTGCGAACTCCGCATTGGTAACAAGAAGGGCATCCAGCCAGTAAACACTCAACTCCACTCAGTTGCCCCAACTCTACCGCGATGCAAGGGATTACGGGGTCATTAAAGGACATCAAAAATCTTTATTAACTCGTCACAAATCAGCTAGGTGTGCGAATGGCAATTATGTAACGCTGCAATGGCCGTATATATGAGGATCGGTCGCAATTTTATTTTTTCCACTCTTATTACTATGAAAGGTCACTAACTGAAGCAATCAGTAAGCAAAGTATAATACATGTATTATACTTATGAGCACACACTAAACAATAATTCTTGCTGCCACTACAAGTAGTCCTCCATTTACAACCACAATTGGAGCCCACACTTCTATTGCTAAGCAAGGATTGTTAAGTGAGGTGCGTTCAATTTTATGACTTTTTTGGGGTCACAGTTACATGAATCACCCCAGTTGTTAAGTGAATCACATGGTTGTTAAGCAAATCTGGCTTCCCCCATTGACTTTGCTTGTTGGAAGTCACCTGAGAAGGTCACAAAATGGAGATTGTGTTACCCCAGGAGGCTGCAACTGTCCTACATACAAGAATGAGCTCCCCCCGGAGATACGGAGGATCCCGGATCTGCGCTCCTTCCGCCGTGCTGTGAAGACCTTTTTATTCCATCAAGCGGGCTTGGCCTGATCTCTTCCCTTTTTAAATACGTAAATTTTAATCTGTTTTTAAATTATTGGGGTATTTTAATTTGTCTGGGCCAAATAATTTAATTTGATTTTATCGGGTTTTTAAATTTTGTGTATTTATGTATTTTATTGTTGGCTGTTCACCGCCCTGAGTTCTTCGGGAGTAGGGCGGTATACAAATCAAATAAACTATAAACTATAAAAACTATAAGCCGGTTGCCAAGCGCCCCAAATTTGATCACGTGACAGTGGGGATGCTGTGATGGTCATAAGTGCAAGGACTGGATGTTAAGTCGCTTTTTACAGTGCCACTGTAACTTGTATCGGTTGCTAAAGAAATGGTTGTAAATCAAGGACTACTTGAATTAGTGCTATCCAGTATATACTTACTGCAGAAATTGGTGATTCCTGCTACCCTGTATTCCTGAAGGCGTTTGATTTCAGTTCGCAGCTCAAACTCCACTGTGTTTCCATTAGAATAATAGGAAATGGGGGGAAAAAAACCCAATAAGGAGCATGTTAAGTTGTGGCTCTCTTGTTTTTTTTAATCATTATTTGCATTTAAAACAGATTATTTAGGTATAACGTATAAAACAAACATGGAAAAACTTCACCAAATAGCAAAATTCAGAAGCAAGTGAAAAGTTAGTGTGATTTTTTTTTAAAAAAATGATAGAAAATATCTGGCTCTTTCCTTATAATCATCATAATGAAATCACCATAATGATTTTACTAGGCTTGGATGAGAGTTTGACTCTGGAGCGGGCTGGATTAAGAGAGAATGAAGTCATCCAGGGAGATCCGGTGGCCAAAGGGGGGATTAGAACTCATATCTCATCACCTTCACCACTGGAACACACTGGCTCTGGAGATTTTTAAGATAAGATAACCTTATTGTCATTTTTTTTACTCCGAACACACCGGCCCACATTAAAAATGAAACTCTGTTGCCTGCTCTGAAGAGAAATTGTATATCCACCCCAAACACATACATAACACACATACTATATATACATGCTATATACATACAGACATATATATCTGCAACGCACACACAGACACTAATCACTGTCCATTTTGAATAGATAGCGGAAAGAAAAAACTTGAGAATTCAAAAGTTTTATTTAAATAAAACATATTTTATTTATTAAATTTCTATGCTGACCACCTCCTCTGCAAAGTGACTCTTGGCGGCTTACAAATTATAGAATAGGAAAAAGTACTTAAAAAGATGAAAACCAACCAACCTTAAAACATTATTAAAAGCTGTGCTAAAACCACGCTTACAAGAGCCAAGAGCCAGATGGGATGGGGATGAGAGCTTCTTATATTGAGAGCCTCCCTCTGAGATGAGAGAGAAGGAATGGCTCAAAGCCCACCAGGGAGCTTCTGAAGCTTGGTGTGTGTGTGTGTGTGTGTGTGTGTGTGTGTGTGTGTGTGTGTCTGTGTGTGTGTGTGTGTGTAATGGCCGGATACACGACTTGAACTCTCCGTTCCTCATCCAGCACCTTCTCCACTAGACCAGACTGAGACCTGGGTGGAGAAAAGGACTAGTCCAAAAGCAGGGGTGGGATTGAAAAATTTTAGCAACCAGTTCTCGGCCTGGTTGCTAGATGGGCGTGGCCACAGGGGCGTGGTCTAGTTGGCTTCCTGCACCACGGCACCGGAGGATGACAATGTTTTGCCCTCCCCAGACTCTGGAGGCTTTTCTTGAGCCTCCGGGAGGGTGAAAACAGCCTCCCCCAGGCTCAGGAGGCCAGAAATGTGCCTTTTTCTGGACTTCCGGTAGGCCCAATTTTCGCCCGCCCAGAGCCTCCATGCGGGCCCTGCACTTACCTGGCATCCAAAACAGGTCGCGTGGAGACTCCTGGGAGGGGCGGGGTGGAGTGGCCAAGGTCAGCCAGTCCTTGCAATTACCAGTTCAGCGAACCAGATTAACATCTGCTTCGCCCGAACCAGCTGAATCCCACCCCTGGTCCAAAGTCACCAAGGGTTTCCATGCTTTCAAATAACTAAACAGCACCTCTAACGCTGCACCACACTGATTCTCAGGCGTAAAGAAATGGACTGGTCCAAAGAAATGGGCAGGGGAGGGGGAAGAGGTTGGAGCTGAAGATGATGCAATTGAAGCTGTTTATAGTCCAACACTTTTAACACTCCACCACCCTAACTCTCTGAATTCCTTAAAGAAGGGGTCTCCAACCTTGGCAAACTTTACGACTTGTGGCCTTCCAACTCCTAGAATTCCTCAGCCAAGCCATGCGCCAAGGTTGGAGACCCCTGCCTCAGAGCAATGGTTCTCAGCCTTACCAATGTTTAAGGTCTATGGACTTCAACTCCCAGAATTCCCTAGTCAGCGTGCTGCAGTAGTCCAAAGTACTGGAAACTTAGTCCCTAAAACACAATAAAGCAATGTTTCTCAACTGTAGCAACTTTAAGGTGTGTGGACTTCAGCTCCCAGAATTCCCCTGCCAGCTTCATTTTCCAGTTTAATGAACAGAAAAGTGTGAAGGATTTTCCAGGCACCTGTGGGATTGGCCCAACCCCACAGTGATGGTGGAAATGCAGTAAAACAATGGGGCCAATGGCATATCTCATTCAACTCTTTGTCTCTCATTTGAAGAGAAAATTCAAACTGAGGGTTCTGAACTGTTTCGATCGTTCCCGTGGATAAAAGCAGTTTCCGTGTGTAAACCACTGACATAATGAGTAAAACACTGACAATGAAAAATGACATTCAGCATCTGTTGAAGGTAAAAAAACCAGACTCTTAGAAAAAGACTGGTAAAAATTCTAAAGGGGTTCTACATCTTTGCAATATTACCATACGGATATAGGCAACAGGTCAGGTTACTTGCTCGGTCATTTCCGAACCTGTAATTAAGACGAATTAAAGAACCAACCTTGTGTAAAATGTTTCAAATTAATCTGTTTTGAACGGGGAATGAGAATTTAAGGGAGGGGCATTTCAACTAGAAAAAGTCACTCTGAGATTTGCGGTAAGGAAAAAAGACCTCCAAATTAAGTTCATGTATTAAATGTTATTGCGGTGGTAGAGTGTAGAAACGTCTTTTTAAAGACACAAGGATGAGGCTTTTGTTCTTACGTTCCTTATTAAAGGCGAGAGATCTATGTGTTTTATTTCTCTAATTTAATTGGGCTCATTCCAATTCTCAGTGTATCTGCATCAAGCCTTTACAAAACCCATTGCTTTGTTTTGGGAAATGGAACCCAGAATGGTTACACGTGGTATTTTGTTTCAGGAAAAGAAAAATAAAATTGTTTAACTTCTAAACAGCCATTATCTGACAAGATGATTACTGCTTTTATTTAGGGGCTGTTTAAAAAGGAAGCTGTGTGTTGGGCACACAAACTAGTATTTTATTTACGTGCTGATTTTCTCTGCTAAAATCCATCCAAAGCAGCTATACAGTAATAATACCCATTCTGGTCAACGTATTTTATAATTGAAGGGATAAACGACGTTATAAACAGACTCAACAAACAAAAGCAGATAAAATAAATGAACTATCCACTCTTTCCTCCAGGAGCCCTGGAGAGATTTTTCAGTTGTATTATTCAGGTAGTCCTCAATTTACGACAATTGAGCCAAAATTTCTGTTGCTAAATGAGACATTTGTTAAGTAAATTTTGTCCCATTTTACAACATTTCTTGCCAGTTGTTAAGTGAATCACTGCAGTTGTTAAATTAGCAACATGGTGGTTAAGTGAGTCTGATTTTCCCACTGCTTTTCAGAAGGTTGCAAAAGGGGATCACCTGACCCCAGGACACTGCAACTGTCATAAATGCATGCTAGTTGCCGAGCATCTGATATGGGGATGCTGCAATGGTCGCTAAGTGTGAAAAACAGTCATAAGTCAATTTTTTCAGTATCGTTATAACTTCAAACGGTCACTAAATGTATTGTTGTAAATCGAGGATTACCTGCATTTATTCCTTATCCATTTTAGTTTGATTTTAAATGTTTTCACATTGCTATTTAATCCCTTTTTAAAAAAATGTTGACTTGTTGAAATATTCTATGACAGGTGGAGTTGCCTTGCAGCGAGATAGATGGCAAACAAATTTAATAAATAAATATAAACGGTTTAGCAAAAACAATAAAATGAAGACAAAAGCAAATAAATTTCTGTCAGTCTGTACATTACAACTTTTTTCCCATACTTTTTTTAGCTTAGCGAAGCTCCTACCTTACACCCTTCTCTAATAACAGATCATAATTTGCCAAACAGGTACAGGTAGTCCTCAACTTACAACAGTTCATTTCAGTGGTGGGATTCAATTTTTTTTTACTACCGGTTCTGTGGGTGTGGCTTGGTGGGCGTGGCATGGCTTGGTGGGCACGGCAGGGGAAGGATACTTTAAAATCTCCATTCCTTCCCCAATCCAGGGGAAGGATACTGCAAAATCCCCATTTCTTCCCGATCAGTTGGGATTTGGGAGGCAGAGAATCGATGGGGCCGGGGCCAGTCAGAATTTTTACTATCGGTTCTCCGAACTACTCAAAATTTCCGCTACCCGCTTTCCAGAACTGGTCAGAACCTGCTGAAACCCATCTCTGGTTCGTTTAGTGATCATTCAACCACTGCAGCATCCCCTTGATCATGTGATCAAAATTCAGATGCTTATCAACTGGTTCGTACTTATGACGGTTGCAGCGTCCCCGGATCACATGATCAGCTTTTACAACCTTCCGACAAGCAAAGTCAACAGGGAAGCCAGATTCACTTAACAACCGGGTTGCTAACTTATCAACTGCAGTGATTCATTTAACAACGATGGCAAGCAAGGTCGTAAACTGGGGCAAAACTCGCTTAACCAACGTCTCACTTAACAACAGAAATTTTGGGCTCAATTGTGGTCGTAAGTCGAGGACAACCTGTTTTTTCTGTCTGGCGAGAAACGCAGCAATTCTGCATCAAATGCACCCAGATGTGTTTTACATTCATGATTGAGCCATGCACCAGTGAAAAACTCCTGCGTAAATAAATATGAATAAGAAAACCTTACGTGCATGGCTCTCTATGAATTTATCGTGTTCCGTCGGTCCCAATATTCTTGCAAAGCGCCTCATGGTCTCATAGAGATCTTGAACTTTCTTTGGGTATCTTCTTTCCAGAACTGCAAAACAAAGAAGGAAATGTATATTGAGTCAAGAATTGTTCTGCCCCAGCTATGGACCCCAAAGAACGCAGCACACACAAAGTCTGTACAAACCTTAGTTTACTAAATTAAATCAGTCTTTTTCAAACAAAGGCTGTTAATTAACTTTCTTAACAGCCTACAAGAATCCAAAGAATAAGTAATCGTAATCTTACTATGGTTGGCAGAAAGCCCAGAAGCAATTTGCAGAGAACTAAGATCAAGACACGAAGGAGAGTGAATGAAGTTGTTCCCTGCAAATTGCCTCCTTCCTTAAATAGGCTAAGGGAGTGGCCAATTAGCCCCAAGCCTTACTCTCGAGGAGACCTCCTCCTGAGGAGCCACTCCTGCCTTTTGGCCGCTCTGAGCGCCCGTGCATCGAGAAGAGGCTCCTCCTCTTCGTCCTCTTCACTTAAAGGAGCTTCTAGAGGTTCTGAAGGCCCTGGCTGAATCCCCGTCTCTGGCACCACATCTTCTCAGCCTCCTCATTATCCGACTCGAGTGCCAGCTGCACAGGCTGCTGGCGCAGCACCACACCAGCCTCCTCACTGTCGGAATCAGCACAGGCTGCTGACGGGCCACAACAAGAATGTGATCCTGAAGTCGTGTTTTCCCAGCTGTCCTGCTAAGTTGAGACCAAGGCATCTATTGGGGGGAGGCGGGGTCAAAAAAGTCAAGATGGAGGCTGCAACCGTTTGGTTGCAGCGAGTGTGTCTGAAGACACTCCTGATTCAGGCTGCAACCCCAGAATTCTTAACGCATTACATGGTGCTAAGATCAGACAGAAGTAGCCAACACTGCCTTCTCTTTTATGGATAGTCTTCAACTAAGGACCAAAATTCGAGCCTGGCAATTACAGTTGTAAGTCTAGATGGTCGTAAAGTGGGTCACCGATCTTACCGACCTGATTTTTTTTTTTTGGCGACAGTTAAGCAAACGTGGCAGTTGTTAAGTAGAGCCGTTGTTTTCTATGGGCCAGTTTTTGCTGGAAAGTGGAAGTACACACACCAGTTTCCAGAAGAAACTTCGTAGATCAGAGCTTTGCTCATTGTTCCTGACAATATTTCATCCAGTTCTGATTTCCCCAAGTTAAAGCCATATTGTCTACAATCTGCTTCATATCTTGATTGTATTTGCAGTCTTGTATACCAATCTATCTCAATCCCTTGACTCTCTAGTTCTTGTATTTGTTTCAGTTCTCCCCGATCTGTCAAAATGTCTTTATATCTAACAATATTCCCCATGTTCTCAATATTTGGGTATGTCACCGCTTCTATTGTAGAAAGCCACGTTGGAATATTCAAATGTTTTTCTTTCACTCTCTCCCACACTGATAACAAACCATTTCTTACATAATGTCTTTGGAAATATCCATGTATCCTTTGTTTCCCGTACCATAAAAAGGCATGCCAACTCAGTTGTAAATCATGACCCTCTCCAATGTCAATAGTCTTGTATTCCTTAATAAAATCCATTCTTTAATTCATGCTAACGCTGCCGCTTGATAATACAATTCTCAATTCGGAAGGCCAAACCCCCCTCTAATTCTTGTAACATTTTTACGTTGATCCTGATTTTATGAACTTTTTTTGGTGACAGTTAAGCAAACGTGGCAGTTGTTAAGCAGAGCCGTTGTTTTCTATGGGTCAGTTTTTGCTGGAAAGTGGAAGTACACACACCAGTTTCCAGAAGAAACTTCATAGATCAGAGCTTTGCCACTGTAAAGGAACATCGCACCTTTTAAAAATGGATAATGGTAGCCCTCAACTTACAATAGTTCATTTAATGACCGTTCAAGTTACAACAGCACCAAAAAAAAGTGACTTATGACCATTTTTCACACTTATAATCACTGCAGCATCCCCATGGTCAGGTGATCAAAATTCAGCCACTTAGCAACTGGCTCATATTTATGACAGTTGCAGAGTCCCAGAGTAATGTGACCACTTTTTATGACCTTCTGATGAGCAAAAACAATGGGGAAGCCAGATTCACTTAACAAGCATGTTTACCAACTTAAAAACTGCAGTGATTCACTTAACAATACAGGTAATTCTCGATTCAATTCTCGAAAAAACAATTACTACCAACCTGCCTTCCATTGAGGACCTGTATACTGCACGAGTCAAAAAGAGGGCTGTGAAAATATTTACAGACCCCTCGCATCCTGGACATAAACTGTTTCAACTCCTACCCTCAAAACAACCCTATAGAGCACTGCACACCAGAACTACTAAACACAAGGACAGTTTTTTCCTGAACGCCATCACTCTCCTAAACAAATAATTCCCTCAACACTGTCAAACTATTTACTAAGTCTGCATTACTATTAATCTTCTCATTGTTCCTATCACCCATCTCCTCCCACTTATGACTGTATGACTGTAACCTTGTTGCTGGTATCCTTAAGATTTATATTGATTGTTTCCCTATGACTATCATTAAGTGTTGTACCTTAAGATTCTTGACGAATGTATCTTTTCTTTTATGTACACTGAGAGCGTATGCACCAAAGACAAATTCCTTGTGTGTCCAATCACACTTGGCCAATAAAGAATTCTATTCTATTCTATTCTATTCTATTCTATTCTATTCTGTTCTGTTCTGTTCTGTTCTGTTCTGTTCTGTTCTGTTCTGTTCTGTTCTGTTCTGTTTACAGCAGTTCATTTATTGACCCTTCAAAATTCCAATAGCACTAAAAAACATGACTTATGATCATTTTTCACACTGTAGCATCCCCATGGTCACATGATTGCCATTCGGATGCTTGACAATTGGTTCATATTTATGACGGTTGCAGTATCCAGGGGTTATTTGACTATCTTCTGACAAGCAAACTCAATGGGGAAGTCAAGAGTCACTTAACAACCACATTACTAATTTAACAACTGCAGGGATTCACTTAACAAATGTGGCAAGAAAAGTCGTAAAATGGGACAAGACCCACTTAACACATTTCTCACTTAGCAAAATGAATTCTGGGCTCAATTGTGATCGTAAATCGAAGACTACCTGTGGTGGCAAGAAAGGTCGTAAAATGGGGCAAAACTCACTTAACCGCTGGCTCACTTAGCAACAGAAAATTGGGGCTCAATTGTGGTCGTAAATCGAGGATTACCTATATTGCACATTTTAAAAAACGGGTATGTTTTTACATGGTGCTCCCAGAGACTTCCCAGCTGTGTCTGCTTCAGTAACACGACAGATCTAGAGGAACAGATGTTTTCCTGCCCCAGAAGCTTCCGACTTCCCTTTCATTTATCTCACACATAATTACATAAAGCAACAACCGTAGTTAAAGGGTGAATACTGTGGCACTGTTTTTAAAGAGGCAACATGACATTAAGATCAACGACTTCAAGTACTTACTCTGAAACTTTCTGAGGTTGATTAGCCCATGGTCTTTGATGATTCTGTAAGTTAAAAGTGCTTATTAGTAATCACGAACAAGCGCCAGCAGCAAAAAACAAAAACAAAACCACCAATGATAATACCCTCTGAGGAACTGGCATCATGTTTCCCTTTGTGATCTTCTCGAAAAGACTGGACAAACACTTGGCAAGATTTGTTGGAACAGGCAGAAAAGTTTCCTCCTGGAACTACTCATTTAGCAGAGTGACAGGCTGGGGAACCTGAGGTTGCCTCCTGGAAGGAACATTTCATTTTTAAAACCTTAGCCAGGTAGGTGTGTGTGTGTGTGTGTGTGTGTTTGTTTTAAAAAGATGCTGAGGGAGTAATAAGAATCCCACTCTGTTGTTTGAAGTTTCCAGCTCCAAGGACCTGTGCAAAATAGCATACACACACACACGTGCGCGCAAAATAGGACCATCCCACAACTCCATAACTCCACAACTCCATTCAAGTCCCTAAAGTGAACGTTTGGCGGCAGCACCAAATGACAGTCTTGCAGTGACAACAGTGTTAGGTGTTTGAATGCAGCGGATAAAATCTGCAAGTAAATTACCTCCAAACAGATTCCCATCACTGTAGGTGTAATGGCTGCCTTAACACTGTCTCAGATTTGCATAAACCAACAACTAAAACAAGTTTCCATGTGTAGCTGGGATAGTGCCTGGCATGGAGCCATGGGCAGAGAAGATTGGGTGGTGTGGTGGTTGTGTTTTCCAGTTTATCAAGTCGACTACATTTATTTCCAGTTTCTATTCTTCATTTTGGTGTTAATTCTATAAAGATAGTAGGCTTAACTGCAATGATTTACCTCAGAGGCAGGGAATGATGGCCCCTTTAGGACTTGTGGACTTCAAATCCCAGAATTCCTGGCTGGGGAATTCTGGGACTTGGAAGTCCAGCCATCTTCAAGTGGTCAATGTTGAGAAAGGCTGGTCTGCCGCAGCATTTTCCAAGCTCAGCAACTTTAAGCTTCATGCTCCCCATGCTGGCTGGGGAATTCTGGGAATTGAAGTCCACACATCTTAAAGCTGCCACATTTGAGAAACACCGATCTAGGCAATTCAAGATGTATCTATAGATAGTTGAGTTACAACAGCTGAAGTTACAACGGCACTGAAAAAAGAGTGACTTATGACCGTTTTTCACACTTACAGCCTTTGAAGCATCCCCATGGTCAGGTGAACAAAATTCGGATGCTTGGCAATCAACTCATATTTATAATGATTTCAGTGTATACTGGAGGCACATATGCGCTGTCTCTGAGGTATTCTTAGCATCACCTGGCAGGACAAAGTTCCAAATAGTGCAATCTTGGAATGTGCTGGAATTTTAAGCATGTATACACTATTGAAACAGTGACGTCTACGCTGGCTGGGGCATGTCGTGAGAATGGCTGATGGTCGGATTCTGAAAGATCTCCTGTATGGAGAATTAGTGCAGGGAGGGAGGGGGTCAGAGGGAGACCACAGCTGTGATATAAGGATATCTGCAAGAGGGACCTAAAGGCCCTGGGAATGGACATTAACAACTGGGAAACCTTGACCTCCGATCGTTCAGCTTGGAGGCTAAAAGGACGCAGCATGGCCTTCTCCAATTCGAAGAGACACTTGTTCGGCAGGCTGAGGCAAAGAGGCAGTCCCGGAACCAGCGAAATCTGGCAGGGGACAAAATGTATCTGCCCTCAGTGTGGAAGGGATGGCCACTCTCGAATTGGCCTTTTTAGTCACACCAGATGCTGTTTTAGGACCTCTTTCCAGAGCACGATGCCATAGTCCCATGATAGCGAATCTATGGCACCTGTGCCATTGGTGGCATGCAGAGCCATTTATTCATTTTATTTATTATTCATATTTCTATGCCGCCCACTCTCCGAGGACTCTGGGCGGCTTACACCAAAGACAGTATACTAAATAGCATATTGCCCCCAACAATCTGGGTCCTCATTTTACCCACCTCGGAAGGATGGAAGGCTGAGTCAAACTTAAGCCGGTGAGATTTGATCCGCTGATCTGCTGAACTAGCAGTCAGCTGAAGTAGCTGCAGTACTGCACCCTAATCACTGCGCCACCTCGGCTCATTCTCCGGGCATGCGAGCCGTCGCCTTAGATAAGCTCCACCGTGCATGCGTGTGTGCCTCCCGCCAGCCAGCTGATTTTCAGGTCTCTGCCGTGCATGTGGGAGACGTGTGTGCATGCCCATGCCGCCCCTCCCCTCCCAGGAATCTCCACACGGCCCATTTTGGATGCCACGTAAGTACAGGGCTCGTGCGGAGGCTGTGAGAGGGTGAAAAAGGGGCCTACCGGAAGTCAGGAAACAGGCTGTTTCCGGCTTCCAGAGTGGCCTGCTAGGCCCAAAATGGGGTGTGGGGGGGTTGCACGCACATGCACAGGGGGGGGCGGAAAATGGGGGGGGGCACACGGGGCTGCTCCGGGGGGGGGGGAGCAGCGCAGGGGGTTGCGTGCACATGCGCGGAAAGGCGGGACATGTGAGGGGCATTGCATTATGGGTGTGAGCACGCGCGGGCGCGCTATCTTGCATATACGTACATTTTTGGCACCCGAGGGAAAAAAAGGTTAGCCACCACTGCCACAGTCTCTTGTGACTGAAGGATGCCAATGCCATACTGGAGGTCACGGGATCCCCTTTTGTGATCTTCTGACAAGCAAAGTCAAGGGGGAAGCCAGATTCACTTAACAACCGTGTGACTATGTTAACAACTGTGGCAAGAAAGGTCGTAAAATGGGGCAAAACGCATTTAACAAATGTCTCACTTAGCCTTATAAACTTTGGGCTCAATTGTGGTCGTAAGTCCAGGGCAACCGGTATCTAGTTATCACTTAATGAACACTGATATCTGGGACTTGGTTCTCCCACTGAGAGGAATGCCAGTTCCCTCAGACAATACAGGTAATCTTTGATGTACAACCACAACATGGACTATAAAATTTATTATTAAGTGATGTGGTCATTAAATGAGATACCACGTGGTCCCACTGGATTTTAGAATCTTTTTTTGTTGTGGTCCTCATGTGAGACATCACATGACCTAGGATCCTTCCTGCTGGCTTCCCCATTGTTGGGAAGGTCGCAAATGGCAATTAAATGACCCTGGGATCCTGCAACAGTTATAAGTGTGAGGACTGGTCATAAGTCACTTTTTTCAGGGCTGTTATAACAACAATAATAGCATTTAGACTTATATACCACTTCATAGTCCTTTACAGCCCTAAGTGGTTTACAGTCAGTACATTTCCCCCAACAATCTGGGTCCTCATTTTACCAACATCGGAAAGGATGGAAGGCTGAGTCAACCTTGAGCCGGTCAGAATCGAACTCCTAGCAGTGAGCAGATTTAGCCAGCAATACTGTATTCTAACCACTGCGCCACCATGGCTCTTAACTTTATACTTGCAACTTATACTTGTAACTTTGAATGGCTATAAATCGAGGACTACCTGTAAACAGATTTAGAAGAGAATAGAATAACAGAGTTGGAAGGGACCTTGGAGGTCTTCTAGTCCAACCCCCTGCTTAGGCAGGAAACTCTACACCACTTCAGACAAATGGTTACCCAACACTTAAAAACTTCCAGTGTTGGAGCATTCACAACTTCTGGAGGCAAGTTGTGAATGCCAACCAGGCCCACCACTGGGCCTGGTGGCTCAGCAGACTAAAAGCACTGTGGTTAACACCAGCTGTCTGCAATTATTGTAAGTTCGAATCTCACCAGGCTCAAGGTTGACTCAGCCTTCCATCCTTTCTAAGGTAGGTAAAATGAGGACCCAGATTGTGGGGGCAATAAGCTGACTTTGTATAAATATACAAAAGTATGAAGGCTATTGCTTAACGCATTGTAAGCCGCCCTGAGTCTCCGGAGAAGGGCAGCATATAAATAAATAAGCTGCTCCACTGATTAATTGTTTTAACTGTCAGGAAATTTCTCCTCAGTTCTAAGTTGCTTCTCTCCTTGGTTAGTTTCCACCCACTGCTTCTTGTCCTGCCCTCAGGTGCTTTGGAGAATAGCTTGACTCCCTCTTCTTTGTGGCAGCCCCTAAGATACTGGAACACTACTATCATGTCACTCCTTGTCCTTCTTTTCATTAAACTAGACATACCCAGTTCCTGCAACCATTTAAAGTACCCTTCTTTTACAAAAGAGACTACCATCATTCATATAGTTGTGTGGGGTTTTAGCTATCTCACTTGAAAGTAGGGAAGTCAGTGGAATCCTTGTGTTGCAACCTTAACCTTCCTTCCAATTAATATGATTAATAATAGCTCTTTAATTCTTGTTCTTCAGATTGATTGCTTCCAGTTTAGGAAGCAAGGAGTCTGACAATATCAAGTTTCTAGGATGGAGCATTCGCTTTCTACTAGCAATAACAATAGCACTTAGATTTATATACGGCTTCACAGTGCAAAGTCACTGGGGAAGCCAGATTCACTTAACAACCATGTTACTAATTTAACAACCGCAGTGATTCACTTAACAACGGTGGCAAGAAAGGTCGTAAAAGGTGGCAGAACTCATTTAACAACTGTCTTGCTTAGCAGAGGAAATTTTGGGCTCCATTGTGGCCATAAATTGAGGACTATCCATACATGTATCCCTGGAGCAATTAACAAAATTGAGCTGTGTTGTATCGTATTTATCCTTCTTCAAATGCTAGTAGAGAAGTGCAATTAAGCTCTAAGGAACTTTTTAACAGTGGTGAAAGAATAGGGGGGAGAAAAATTGCCAAAAACTCACTTTTTCCGTCTTTGCCTTTCCTTTAACCGAGAGTGATAGATATCTACGACTGCAATCTTCAAAGCTGTGAAAAGTTCAAGGGGGAGTGGTGGAAGAGAGACGAAAAGAATAAAAAACCCTTTATGTGGGATTTATGCAGCGATGGGAGCGAAGCAGGACGGCAATACTGACAGGATTACAACACTGATCTTCCGTATCATCACAGCAGTTGCTTGTTTTCTTGATAGTGAAGAACTCAAGAACTAACAAAACAAAGAGGCCCGAATCCTGCTTTGAAAAGAATCTCTTCCAAAGCACGGCCATCATGTGAGACTCCGTGCCTACATAGGTTCTTGGTGCTCTCTGAGCTTGGCTGTTTTCTTGCAGATATTTCATGACCCAACTATGTATCGCCACGTAAGCACTGATGATGTTACCTAGTAGGGTCATGAAACGTCTGCAAGAAAACAATCAAGCTCAGAGAGTGCAACCTCACAGTTCAACCCTGAGCTACAAATATTCTCTTCTACTGATACCCTCAATCATTGGGCCAGCAGAGATAACCTAGTACAGATCCCATTGGTCAAAGAACTTCAAATGCCGGGAGTCAGAAAAACCTTTTCTGCTGCAGCAATTGCCCTTTGGAACAAGGTAAGATCTGCCCCCAACCTCCTATCCTAAAGTCCTGGCTTTGCAAATTGGTCTGGAGACCCAATGGGGAAGTTTGAAGTGGCTGCTCGATTGACAGCAGGCTCCACCTTCCCACCCCCACCCCTGGCTCTCTGCTCCCCAGTCGCCCATCTTTTTTTACTAGTCGTATCTGTGAGGGGAAAATAATGGGGATCCCCTTCTAGTACAGTAAAATTTGGGGGGGGGGGGGCTGAGATGGGTTCAATATTAACATTAATTGCCTGATGCAAGTATAAAGGAAAATTTGTAATCGGCATGTGCATCTGATGGAATGGTAGCTAACATGGACACTGTAGTCCCCTATATGCTGAAATGAGCGGGGCGGAGGCTGTGGGAAAAAGAGGAAGTGTATGCTTAAAATACATGTAAAAATAATCATGTTGTAACAGTGAGGTTAAAGGAATGAAAAACTGCCTCTGTTGCTATGCCATGTGCTTTGCGGTTTTAAGGTATATAATGAAATGTTGAATAATGGGAGGTTGCTAATTCGGCCTCAAGCCGTCCCTTTTGACTGCTTGTCCGATTGACCCTCATTGCAATGTGATGTAGGTGCCTTAATAGCAAAGACTTTTATGTTTGCTATGCTTTAAATTCTAAGAACCCTCTGAATCCTAAATGAGACTTTTGTGGTGTGCTGTCTGTTCATTTGTTATTAAGTGCAGCTAAGAGGGGTGGGTTCTACTTATCTTTACTACCGGTTCGCAACGGGGCCACGCGTACAAGCAAAGCTCGCACTCACGCTCTTCTGCGCAAGCACAGAAACTTCTGCGCATGCACAGAAGCGTTTTGATGACGTCAGGGTCAGTGGGCGGAGCCTCCTGCCGGTTTTGCTACCGGTTCTATAGAACCGGTGTGAACCGAGGGCAACCCACCACTGCAGCTAAGCTCATAATCAGCTAATGATAATTTTTCCCCTGACAGATCGATGCATTTTCTTTGTTTTCTTTTTTCCTCGTTTGTTTTATTGTTCTATTATTTTACTTTCACTTTGTTTAAACTTCCTTTTTGTTTTTGTTTCTGGTTTGTTTGGTTTTTTTTGTGGTGGGCCACCTAGAGTAGCTGGATAGTGAGATAGACAGCCAATAAATGTAATAATAATAATAATAATAATACAGGTAGTCCTCTACTTACAACTGTTCATTTAGTGACCATTCAAAGTTACAATGGCACTGAAAAAGAAGTGATTTACGATTTTCATGCTTACGATCGTTGCAGCATCCCCACGCTCACATGATCAAAATTCAGATGCTTGGCAACTGACTCGTATTTATGACGATTGCAGTGTCCCGGGGGCATGTGATCCCCTTTTTACGACCTTCTGACAAGGGAAATCAATGGGAAAGCCAGATTCACTTAACAACCGTGTGGCTAATTTAACAGCTGCAGTCATTCGCTTAACAAATTTGCCAAGAAAAGTCGTAAAATGGGACCAAACTCACTTAACAAATGTTTCGCTTAGCAACAGAAATCTTGGGCTCAGTTGTGATCGTAAGTCGAGGACTACCTGTAATACCATATGTGCTTACGGTTGGGAGCAACCAGGATGGTCTTCAGTTGTGACTGCCATATGGTCATAAACAGCAGAATCCCAGAGACCTTCTGACAGGGCGCTGTTCATTTTAGCTCTCTATAACCAAGTTCCACATTAAAGTTTGCTTTTTATATGCAGTGAGATTTTTCTCTATCAAGCTTCTGCTTGTGTGATAGTTGCAAGAGTGCGTGGCTGTTTTTTTTTTATTACAAACTGTGATTTTTATGCTTTATGAGATGAGTTTTATAATGTAATTATGCTACGAGCTGTTTTGGGAGCGCCTGCCTTGAAATATAAATAAATCATACTGAGAAATAAAACAATCCCCTGTAGCGTAAGGATGTTAACATGCTGTGGGAAACATATGTGAAAATGTAACTAAAGTGAGATATGTATTTTCAGATAATAACTGAGAAAGAAAATCAAGCTTTTTGTGTTTTTATCATTGCTTTGCCCAGAGTCACTTGTTGAGATGGGTGTTTATAGAAATCAAATGAAATCAATCCATCAAACATTTTAAGGATGGCTGTTTCTGAGTATTTCAATATTATTGGATATCAGATGACAACTACAGCCAAATCTCTCTGGGTCTGGAACTAAGCACAGTTCAACCTGGTAAATATTTGGTGGGACATTACCAAGAAACTCTAGAGTTGTAATTAGACTGGCACTGATGATGTTACCTAGTTTGGTGATGAAACGTCTGGAAGAAAATAACCAAGCGCAGAGAGCACCCCACAGTCATTAAGAGTGATTAAAAAAAGAATCCTTGAAATAATTTACTTAGCAACCTTTGTATTTCTGTTCTTTGCCTATGTGGACCTGTTCATGAAGTTCATTAGGAATAAAAAAATGACTGCAAGGAATTTTATTCCTTAGGAAGTGGAGACAAGAGGAGGTGTTTAGGATTTCAACCATGGAAGCAAAACTCACCATGTAAAAGATCCGAGTCATCCTCTACAAAATCTATATCTCTTAAATCCCATTCGGCATAATTGTCAAACTCCTGTGGAAAACAGATAAAAAAAAAAAAAGAGGAATGGCTCCTGGTTAGCTTTGAATAACTTTAAATAAACATACCCTAATTCACCAAGCTGGAAGGCAGACAAATAATTGAGCGTGGCGAGGTTCACAAACATGCTTACTCATACTTTACCAAGGCTGACTAAACGCCGAACCTGTTTTTTCTGAATACGTACGCACAACTCAGTAAACATTAATTAGACCAGCTGGATTCACAAAATAGATTCAAGTAACATTTGGCGGGCTAATCTGTGGTGAAGAGCACTGTGTGTGCACTTATTCACTGATTGGTTTATTCAAGTTTTAGGGCTGCCCAATTCAACCAAGTGACTCTTGGTTGAATTGCAAACGTAAAATTTTAAAACAACTTAAAAAACACAAAAACAATAGAAACATCCATAAGATAAATATGTATAAATGTAAAACAGCAGCGGTGATGATTAATCCGCTAATAGTGAAGCCAAGTAACGGGGCCCTTCATACATTCTGAGCCCCAGGTCTGAGTACATAGCCAAGTTTTTAAAGCTTTGGAAAAGACCAACAGGACAGGGGTGAAATCCAGCAGGTTCTGACAGGTTCTGGAGAACCAGTAGCGGAAATTTTGAGTAGTTCGGAGAACTGGCAAATGCCACCTCTGGCTGGCCCCAGAGTGGGGAGGGAATGGGGATTTTGCAGTATTCTTCCCCTGCCATGCCCACCAAGCCACACCCACCAAGCCATGCCCACAGAACTGGTAGAAAAGAAATTTGGATTTCACCACTGCAACAGGATTGGGGCCATTCTGATCTCTGCAGGGAGGATGGGTGGACTGGGATGGGGTGGAATGGAATAGGAAATAGAATGGAATAGAAGTTGGAAGGGACCTTGTAGATCATCTAGTCCAACCCCCCTCTCAAGCAGGAGACCCTATACCCGTGATGGTGAACCTATGGCATGTGTGCCACAGGTGGCACGCATAGCCATATCGGTGTGCATGCGAGCGCCAGCCAGCTGATTTTCAGGCCTTCTGGGCCCACCGGAAGTTGGGAAACAGGCCTTTTCCGGCTTCCAGAGGGCCTCGGGGTGGTGGGGAGGCCATTTTCGCCCTCCCCAAGCTCCTAGAAAGGCTCTGGAGCCTGGGGAGAGAGAAAACAGGCCTACTGTGCCATCGCGTGCCAAGAGTGGGGTGGTGGTGTCACATAGAATTATGGGTGTGGGCATGCGTGCACGCAACACCCCTCCCCCCAATGGCAAAAAAATTAGCCATCACTGCCCTATACCATTTCTGACAAATGGCAGTCCAGTCTCTTCTTGAAAGTCTCAAGTGATGAAGCTCCCATAACTTCCGAAGGCAACTTCTGTTCCATGGGTTGATTGCTCTCCCTGTCAGAAAATCTCTCATTTCTAGGTTGAATCTCTCCTTGATCAGTTTCTACCCATTATTCCTTGTCTGGCCTTCAGGTGCTTTGGGAAATTTATTTATTTATTTATTTATTTATTTATTTATTTATTTATTTATTTTATTTATTTTATTTGTTTGTTTGTTTGTTTGTTCGATTTATATGCCACCCTTCTCCGGAGACTCAGGGCGGCTTACAATGCATTAAGTACTGCATTTTAACCACTGCATTACCATACCTCGGTTGACTAGGTTGACCCTCTCCTCTCTGTGGCAGCCCCTCAAATATTGGAAGACTGCTATCATGTCTCCCCTGGTCCTTCTCTTCACTAGACTAGCCATGCCCAGTTCCAGCAACTGTTCATCGTATGTTTTACCTTCCAGTCCCCTCATCATCCTAGTTGGTCTTCTCTGCACTTTTTCTAGAGTCTCCACATTTTTTTTTTGTAGTGTGGTGATCAAAACTGGATGCAGTATTCTAGGTGTGATCTTACTAAGGCTTTATAGAGTGGTATTAGCACCTCACGTGACCTTGACTGAATCCCTCTGTTAATGCAATTTAGGATTGCATTGGAGATTCCATAAAGCATTGGCTACAGCAAAAAAAGCCCTTTTCCTAACTCCCACCAGTCAGTACTCTTCTGTGCCCAAAATTTTTGTTGCTAAGAAATGTTACCCATAATTCTATGCACGCGCAATTCTATCCCGCGCATACATGCGTTCCCCCCCCCCTGCTCCTGGCATGCAATGGCACGGTGGGCCTGGTAGGCCCGTTTTTCTCTCTCCCCAGGCTCCAGAACCTTTCTAGGAGCTTGGGGAGGGCGAAAACTGCCTTCCCCACCCCCTGGAGGCCCTCCGGAGGCCGGAAACCTGCTGAAGATTTATCCTCACCACATAATGGTTAATTGTGATTTACGGTATCACTATATTACTTATGACATCTTTTACCATAGAATATAGAATAACAGACTTGGAAGGGACCTTGGAGGTCCTCCAGTCCAACCCCCTGCTTAGGCAGAAAACCCTACACCAGACAAATGGTTATTCAACATCTTCTTAAAAACTTCCAGTGTTGGAGGATTCACAACTTCTGGAGGCAAGTTGTTCCACGGATTAATTGTTCTAACCATGTTTCTATAAGTTTGAGTTAGTGATGGGGCAAGGCCTTTTTGGCTCTTACTCCTCATGGTTAAATTTTTATTTTAGGTTATTTTAATTTTCAGCTTGCTGTTACAGGTGGTTTGCAACTGTCTTGAGTTTTGTAGGATTTTGTGGAATCATTTTTAATATTTGGGATTATTGTCCTGTTTTAATTAGGGTGGAATCTGCCCTGGGGGGCTCCTGAAGCAGAATGTCCAAATAAACAAACATTATACGAGCAGAGGAATGTAATAAAACGAGTAGAAAATGTAAATAGGTTTCAAATTGGCCGTTAATCTTTTACTATGAGAAAAGACTTTCCCTTTTATTAATTAGGATCAGGTTATTAAAAGTAAATAATATATTTATTGCTTGTCCAACCTTAAGCACAATGAAATGTTAAGTCTGGTGAGGAGAGGTGAATCCATACAAATTAATTTATCATTTCAGGCAGGGGTAGGCTTCAAAAATTTTAGCAAGGGGTTCTTTACCTGGTTGCTGGGTGGGTAGAGCCATGGTGAGCGTGGCCTAGTCAGCCTCCTGCATTGGGGTGGGGGGTGGGGGTGGCTTTTTGTCCTCCCCAGGCTCCGGGGTTTTTTTCCGAGCCTCCGGGAGGGCGAAAACGGCCTCCCCAGGCTCTGGAGGCCCTTCCCAAACTTCCAGTAGGCCCATTTTTTGCCCTCCCCGAACCTCTGCACGCGCCCTGCGCTTACCTGCATCCAAAATGGCTGCACAGGGACTCCTGGGAGGGGCGAGGTGAGCAGGGCCAGCCAGGAGTGGGATTTGGGGGTTCTCCGAACTGCACAGAATTTTAGCTAGAGGTTCTCCCAAACCCCTGCGAACCCCCAGCAGCCCACCCCTGATTTCAGGGCATCACAGTGGCTAAAAGCTGGATAGAGGTAGCCCTCAACTTACAATCATTGATTTAACAACAACTGGAAGTTACAACAGCCTCAGAAAAAATGACCACCTCTCATCAAATTTACAACCATCACACCACCTCTATAGTCATGCGATCACAATTTGAACGTTTCCCAACTAAATGAATGGTTGTAAGTCGAGAACTACCCGTACTGTATAGAAAGGACCACAAGCTGTTGATTTTCTCTTATTCATTGAAAAAGATTTTTATACAAATAGTCCTCGACTTACAACAGTTCACTTATTGACCGTTTGAAGTTACAACAGCACTGAAAAAGTGACGTATGACCATTTTTCACACTTATGACCGTTGCGGCATCTCCATGGTTATATGATTTACATTTGGATGCTTGACAACTGACTCACATTTATGACAGTTGCAGTGTCCCGGGGTCACGTGACCCACTTTTTGTGACCTCCTGACAAGCAAAGTCAATGGGGAAACCAGATTCACTTACAACCGTTAGTAATTTAACTACTGCAGTGATTCATTTAACAAATATGCAAGAAAAGTCATAAAATGGGACAAAACTTAACAGATGTCTCACTTAGCAACATACATTTGGGGCTCATTTGTGGTCGTAAGGCGAGGACTACTTGTAATGTCCTTCAGCAGAAATCCAAGGTAATTCTCAAAAGCAAACTTATTAAAAATAGCCCAGAAATAAACCCTTCAGCATTCAATCAATTGGCAATAGTTGGTCAATGATCGGAAACATTTGTACGATATTATAACAAAAATCAACTTTTCTCATGGAGAAATCACAAAATAATTAGATAAGATTGTCAGGTTTCATCAGATAGTTCCAGAACCTGAAACAAAATTTGGCAAATATAAAAGTGACATCGATATTAGTGGGAAAGTAATGAAATTTTCACAATGGTGGAATGGGCTGTGAAAATGAGAACAAAGCACAACCATTTTTTTTTAAGACTTGGGATTTTTTTAAAATATCCCATCTTTATTAGTTTTATAAATAACCCAAGGCATCAAACATATCTAACACTCCTTCCTCCTCCTATTTTCTCCATAACAGCAATCCTGTGAGGTGAGTTTGGCTGAACGGGAGAGACTGACCCAAAGTCACCCAGCCAGCTTTCATGTCTAAAGCGGGACTAGAACTCATAATATTTAAATTGGTTTTTAAATATGGGATTTTAAATTTGGCGGTTTTAAAATTGAGCCTATCATTTAATAATTTTAATAATTTTAAATTTTGTCTGTCTTTGTGTTTTTAATCAGGCTGTACACCGCTCTGAGTCCTTCGGGAGAAGGGCGGTATAGAAATAAAATAAATAAATAAATAATAAATAAATAAATAAAATAATCTCCTGATGATTGGCCCATAGTTACCCAGCTGGTTTTCATGGCTAAGGCAGGACTCGAACTCACTGTTCCCTGGTGATTGGTCCAGTCACCCAGCCGGTTTTCATGGCCAAGGTTGGATTACAATTCATAGTCTCCTGGTGATTCGTCCAAAGCAGGGATGTCAAACTCAAGGCTCGGGGGCCGTATCTGGCCTGTAGAGTGCTTAGATCTGGCCCACAAGGACGCCCTGGAAACAGCGAAGGACCAGCCCACGGTGCTTCTGACAGAGAAAATGGAGTTTGGGAGTGCTGCAAACTCAGGCCTTCCTGAGCTCTGTTTTTGCTGGTAGAGCGTTGCAGGAGGCCGTCGCAGCCAAAAACAGAGCTCGGGAGCCTATTTTCGCTGGGAGAGCGTTCAAGCCACCATAGGTGCCGACACAACAGTGGTGGGTTCCTCCCGGTTTGGTCCGATTCGGCCGAGCCAGTAGCGGTGATGATATGACCTCACCAAACCGGTTCTTCCCCCTCGCCCTGCCCCCCCCCACATTATTCTTACCTTTTATTTGGCCCCACCCCCAATCTATTGCTGCCTCCTGAGTCCCAGCTGATGACTAGAGGGAAAAAAACTATTTAAACTCTTGCCGCGGGGCTTCAAAGGGCTGTCCTACAGCTGATCAGTGTTAAAAGCAAACAAATGAGTCAGGTCGTAAGTGCGAGGACTGGTCGTAAGTGCGAGGACCTTCCAGAAATGACTCTGACCAGCTAGCCACGCCCACCTAGTCACATGACATCCAAGCCACACCCACAAAATAAGCCACGCCCACAGAACCGGTAGTAAAAAAATTTAGAACCCACCCCTACGACACGAGTGACGTCGAGCTGGCCATGCCCACCCACGCGCACCACGCAGGGTCAAACACAACCCCGATGCGGCCCTCAATGAAATTGAGTTTGACACCCCTGGTCCAAAGTCACCCAGCCAGTTTTCTTGGCTAAGGCAGGACTAGAATCACTGTTTCCTGGTGATTGGCCCAATCACCAGACAGCTTTCATGCCTAGGACAGGATTAAAACTCACAGTATCTCGGTTTATAGCCTGGGGCCTTAACCATTAAACTAAACTGGCTTTTTATTTAAACGATCGCAAAGTGTTATACAGGTAGTCCTCATCTTACAAACCCAACTGAGCCCAAAATTTACGTTGTTAAGCGAGACATTTGTTAAGTGAATTTTGCCCCATTATACGACCTTGCCTGCCATGATTGTTAAGTGAATCACTGCAGGTTGTAAGTTAGTAAGCCCGGTTGTGGCTTCCCCGCTGACTTTGCTGGTCAGAAGGTCGCAAAAGGGGATCACGTGACCTTAGGACACAGGGAGGGTCATAAATATGAACCAGTTGCCAAGCATCTCAGTTTTGATCACATGATCGTGGGGACGCGGCAAAGGTCGTAACTGTGAAAAATGATCGTAAGTCACATTTTTCAGTGCCGTCCTAACTTCGAATGGTCACTAAATGAACTGTTGTAAGTTGAGGTCTACCTGTACGTGGAACTGATTTTTATAAGCCTTGGTGGTGCAGTGGACTAAACTACTGTTAAAGTAGCACTTAGCTGCCAGCTGCCTGCAATTACTGCGAGTTCAATTCTCACCAGGCTCAAGGTTGACTCAGCCTTCCATCCTTCCGAGGTAGGTAAAATGAGGACCCGGTTTGTGGGGGCAATAAGCTGACTTTGTATAAAATAGAACACCACTTAGGGGGCCCCCAAAAAGCCCTACTAAGCAGGTATATACAAAAATATGAAGGCTATTGCTTAACGCATTGTAAGCCGCCTTGAGTCTCCGGAGAAGGGCAGCATATAAATTGAACCAATAAATAATAAATAAATAAAATAAATAAGCGACCTATATCTTGTCAAAAGAAGAGCAGGAGGAGGAGGAATCTAAAATGGGCATTTCAGTTGCCTGACTGAAGTGTGTTGCTTAGTGCAATGGTTCCTGGTCCATTCAAGTAAGCATCCAGATAAAATTATATTTATTCATAGCTAATCATAATACGATTGTTTTATATACAGACACAAAAAATAGCTAAAACAGCAGTCAACTCGGAGACATTCTTACCTCAATGAAATCCGCCCTGGCTGGCATGTATCCTGCCATATCCCTAGAAAGAAGGGAATCAAAGGTAGGCCGGGGAGGATCTTCAGATGCTAAATAAATAAATAAATAAAATAAAATGCATTGTCACAATTTCCAAAGCTTACTAAGAGAAAGTAAGTTCAGCAACTTTAAGGTGTGTGGGCTTCAATTTCCGATGCTGGCTGGGGAATTCCGGCAGTTGAAGTCCACACATCTCAAAGCTGCCAAGTTGAGAAGCACTGATAAGACTTTTTAAACAAAGGAAAATTATTTGGTTAACCGTACGCTGGTTATTTCCTATAATTTATGTACAGTTTCAATTTCGGTAGCTGCCCTCCTGCAAGCAACTCAACTTACAGTTAAAAGCAAACAATATAACTAATTAAATGACAGGAGGAAAAACAGAGAGGAAAAACGCAGCAATCTGTAGCTCAGGGGTGTCAAAATAACGGCCCATGAGCCATGTCATTCATTTAATGACTGCTGGGGAAAAAAAATAGTAAAAATGCATCCGGTCATATGGTGGTCCTTTTTATGACTGTCATGACCGATGACCATAACGGGCAGACTCCATTATGGTCGGATGCTAATGCCTCCTACTAAGGCAGCATTTAACATCCAGCTGCCTGCAATTACTGCGAGTTCAATTCTCACCAGGCTCAAGGTTGACTCAGTCTTCCATCCTTTCTAAGGTGGGTAAAATGAGGACCCGGTTTGTGAGGGCAATAAGCTAACTTTGTATAAAATATACAAAAGTATAAGGCTATTGCTTAACGCATTGTAAGCCACCCTGAGTCTCCGGAGTAGGGCGGCATATAAAAATAAATAAATAAATAAATAAATAAATAAATAAATAAATAAATAAATAAATAAATAAATAAAGAAAGAAAGAAAGAAAGAAAGAAAGAAAGAAAGAAAGAAAGAAAGGTCTAATCTTTGCTGGTTGAGGATCTCTGGGAGTGAAGTCCACAAATCTTAAAGTTGCCAAGGTTGGAAACCCCTGGTCTAAGTCAAAGGCTAGCACCTAGTTAAGCCTTTAACTCCCAAAATTCCAAGCCTATGTGAATTCTGGCAGTGTTCATTTCAAAATACCTAAAAAAATAAAATAAAAAACAGGTTAGGGAGATTGGTATTTAATACAGCAGTGATTCTCTTTTCTTCGCCAGGGACTCCCTTTAAATATCTTTTGGGGCCATGGACCACCAAGACTTAACTCAAGATTTAAATCAAAACATTTCTTCAAGCCTTGGCAGGAGCCCCCTGTGATGACATTGCAACCTCCCAGGGGTCCATGGCAGTGGTGGGTTGCTCCCCGGTTCGGACCGGTTTGCAAGAACCGGTAGTAAAACCGGTGGGAGGCTCCGCCCTCTGACCCCGACGTCATCAGGAAGCTTTTGCGCATGCATCCTATTGCAAACCGGTAGTAAAAGTAAGTAGAACCCACCCCTGGTCGGTGGGCCACAGGTTGAGAACCACCGTTGATGCAAATTTGTCTCTAATAAACCTCGTTGCTGTCTTGAAAGCCTGAAGAAGAACAGGAAATATTTTCAGCTTTCTTTGTGGCTGGCACTTACCAAAAAACGGAGTGGCTAAGCTGGTTTGCTGCTTCTCCCCTGTCTGCTTCAGATGTAATAAGGAGGATGCGAAAAGGGGGTTATTGATGAAATGTTTCATGTAATGCTTTTCACACTCGTCTTTCGTCTTTGTGCTCATCTGGTTGGCTACATCTTGCCTGTAAGGGGCCAAGAAATAAGAATAGTAACGTGCCTGGTTCATAAAATCTGTGATGACTATAAGGTAAAGGTAAAGGTTCCCCTCGCACATATCGCACAAAGGGTCGCCTGTTGCGGCCCTTTCTTGATCGGGATTCCCTGTGCAGAGTCACTCATGCCCTCGTCACCTCTCGCCTGGACTACTGCAACGCTCTCTACATGGGGCTCCCCTTGAAGAGCACCCGGAGGCTCCAACTGGTCCAGAATGCGGCTGCGCGGGTAGTGACGGGAGCCGCATGGCGCTCCCATACAACACCTCTCCTGCGTGAGCTGCACTGGCTCCCAGTGGTCTTCCGGGTGCACTTCAAGGTGTTGGTTATCACCTTTAAAGCACTCCATGGCATAGGACCTAGTTATCTTCGAGACCGCCTGCTGCTACCGACGGCCTCCCATCGACCTGTGTGCTCCCACAGAGAGGGCCTCCTCGGGGTGCCATCAGCCAAACAATGTAGGCTGGTGACCCCCAGGGGGAGGGCCTTCTCTGTGGGGGCACCTACCCTCTGGAATCAGCTGCCCCCAGAGATAAGGAGAATCCAAGACCTCGGTGCCTTCCGCCGTGCCCTTAAAACCTTCTTTTTCCAGCAAGCCGGGCTGGCCTAACACTTTTTAAAATGTTTTTAATTGTTTGTTATTGTTTTTAATCATGGGGCCAAATTTATATATATCTTTTTAATTGTATTTTAATGTTTGTAGTTTATGTTTTTACTTGGCTGTTCACCGCCCTGAGTCCTCAGGGAGAAGGGCGGTATACAAATTTAAAAATAAATAAACAAATAAATAAATAAATATGTGCTACTTGTTCCCGATGAGCAGTGCTCATCTCCGTTTCAAAGCTGAAGAGCCAGCGCTGTCCAAAGATGTCTCCGTGGTCATGTGGCTGGCATGATTAAATGTGAAATGCGCATGCAACGGTGTTACCTTCCCACCAAAGGTGGTCCCTATTTTTTCTACCTGCATTTTTTACGTGCTTTCGAACTGCTAGGTTGGGAGAAGCTGGGACAAGTCACAGGAGCTCACCCTGCTATGTGGCACTAGGGATTTGAACCGCTGAAGTGCCAACCTTTTGATCGACAAGATCAGCGCCTTAGCCACTGAGCCCTATAATGGATGACTATAGTCCCTATAGTGATGACTATAGAGATGTGCAAAAACCGTTGATTCAGAAATGAAATGATTTGGAGAACTCTGGAAAGGTTGGTTTTCTTTTCGACCATGCCAGTAACTCTCCGAGAGGTTGCACAGGCACAATCTCAACCACAGGCCGTTGTCAACCTCTTACTTCAAATTGCATAAAAGGCCTTGTTTGAACTGTGGACTGGTGTTCCAAGAATAACCCCAAATTCCCTCTGAAACCTAATAGCATCCCATTAAGGTGGACCTGGTGCCTGGGGCGGACCAATCTCATCTAATCAATCTTGTTATGTCTCGTTATTTTCTGTTATGGATTGCACCAGTAGAGGCTAAACCAATTTCGTTGTATACATGATGTACAATGACAATAAAGGCTATTATTATTATTAATGAAAAGGCAGGACAAGAAGCAAGGGATGGAAACTAATCAAGGTGAGAAGCAACCTAGAACTAAGGAGAAATTTCCTGACAGTTAGAACAATTAATCAGTGGAATGACTTGCATCCAGAAGTTTGGAAGGTCCAACACTGGAGATTTTTAAGAAGAGACTGGACAACCATTTGTCTGAAATGGTATAGGGGTTTCCTGCCTAAGAGGGGGTTGGACTAGAAGACCTCCAAGGTTCCTTCCAACGCTGTTATTCTGTTAATCAAATAGGTCTCACATTCCTGTTGTGAGGTGAAGCGTCCAAGAACTCCAAGGTCAACAAGGAGTGATCCATCATTGACAAAAAACTGATACCATCCACCGACTCCAGAGCACATCAACACTATTCCAAGATTTAAAAAAAACAGTCTAACATGTGACTCCGACTTCATGAGACAAGCCAGAGTTAACTTGGCTGAAGTTCATGGTAGCCTTGATTTACAACAATTGAGCCCAAAATTTCTGTTGCTAAGCAAGACAGTTAAGTGAGATTTTAGGACCTTTCTTGCCATGGTTGAAGCGAATCCTGCAGTTGTTAAGTTAGTAACACGGTTGTTAAGTGAATCCGGCTTCCCCATTGGCTTTGCTTGTCAGAAGGTCGCAAAAGATGATCAAGACATTGCAACTGTCGTAAGTATGAACCAGTTGCCAAGTGTCCAATTTTGATCACATGATCATGAAGATGCTGCAATGATCATAAGTGTAAAAAGTAATTGATCACTTTTTTAGTGGCACTCTGTAACTCAGTCGCTAAACAAATGGCTGTAAGTCAAGGACTACCTATAATACCTTTGCCTTCTCTCTTTCCCCTGGTCCCATCCTCATGACCATTCTAGCTGTGTAGATAGTCCTCGATTTAACGACCAAAGTCCTGGAAAAATGGGAGTTACAACCCAGTTCCAAAGTTTTGATGGTCAGCCCCCTCCCTTGCAGTCACATGACTGCATTTTAAGACAGTTTTGCAAAAAACCAGAAGTTACATTCAGTTTTTGGCAAAACTGTGCCATAGCGAACGGGTTTGCTTGATATTTGGGGAGATTCATTTAACAACCTCTGCAAAAATGGTGACCAACCTCGTTTACAACCATTGTCACATGCAACTGTAATAGCCCCATTAAGCTATTACAGCCCCAATATGTCAAGGACTACCTGTATATACCCACTGACATCTGGAAGATTCCACAACTGGTTAATCCTCAGCAACTCTCACCAATTTCCAAAGCCACAATCCATCACTGCTTCCAGAAGAGCCATTTCTTCCTGAGCGGTCCAGGTAGGATCAAGGACGGGGAAATTAGAGGTCTGCAGTGGGAAGCAAGCATCAAAAGAAAATCATTTGGGACTGCAATTGTGTAGGCTGATGGAATTCCCATGAACCCCCATAGGAAGGAATTTTATTTGCATTTCCACTAAATATGCATGACAGGAGAGACACACGTGTTCACACACATAGAAAGAGAGAGAGAAAAGAGAGAGAGACAGACACACACACACACACAGAGACAGAGAGAAAGAGAGACAGAGAAAGAGACAGACAGAGAGAGACAGACAGAGACAGAGAGAGAGACAGAGAGAAAGAGAAAGACAGACAGATACACACACAGACAGAGACAGAGAGACAGACAAAGAGAGAGACAGACAGATACACACGCAGAGACATTTATTTATTTATTTATTTGTTTAAATTTCTATACCGCCCTTCTCCAATGTAGGACTCAGGGCGGTGAACAGCCAAAGTAAAAACAAGACATACATACAAACATACAAAATCTAAAAACTGTTTAAAATAATTAAATAATTTTGGCCGTAATTAAAACATTCCAATTTAAAATCCATTTAAAATTTGACTCAAGCCAGCCCAGCTAGTTGGAATAAATGGGTTTTCAGGGCCCGACGAAAAATCCGGAGGTCTGTTATTGTACGTAGCTCTGGGGGGAGGTTGTTCCAGAGGGCGGGCGCCGCCACAGAGAAGGCTCTCCCCCTGGGGGTCGCCAGCCGACATTGTCTGGCGGACGGCACCCTGAGGAGGCCCACTCTGTGGGAGCGTACTGGCCGGTGGGAGGCTATTGGTGGCAGAAGGCGGTCTCGTAAGTACCCCGGCCCTAAGCCATGGAGCGCTTTAAAGGTGGTCACCAACACCTTGAAGCGCACCCGGAAGACCACCGGGAGCCAGTGCAGCTCGCGCAGGAGAGGTGTCACGTGGGAGCGCCTCGTCGCCCCCAAAATCCCCCGCGCGGCCGCATTCTGGACCAGCTGGAGCCTCCGGGTGCACCCCAGGGGGAGCCCCATGTAGAGAGCATTGCAGTAGTCCAGGCGGGAAGTGACGAGTGCCTGAGTGACTGTGCGTAGGGAGTCCCGATCTAGAAAGGGGCGCAACTGGCGTATCAGGCGAACCTGATAAAAAGCCCCCCTGGCCACGGCCGCCAAATGATCTTCTAACGACAGCCGTGCGTCCAGGAGGACGCCCAAGTTACGAGCCCTCTCCGTGGGGGCGAGTGATTCGCCTCCAATAGCCAGCGATGGCGTCAGCTGGCTATATCGGGACGCCGGAAGCCACAGCCACTCGGTCTTGGAGGGGTTGAGTTGGAGCCTGTTTCTCCCCATCCAGGCCCGCACGGCCTCCAGGCACTGGGACATCACTTTAAGGGCATCATTGGGGTGGCCTGGGGTGGAGATGTACAGCTGGGTGTCATCAGCGTACTGATGGAACTCCACCCCGAAGCCACGGATGATCTCACCCAGCGGCTTTACATAAATGTTGAACAGAAGGGGCGAGAGGACCGACCCTTGTGGCACCCCACAAGCAAGGTGCCTCGGGGTCGACCGCTGCCCCCCTGTCAACACAGATTGCGACCGGTCAGAGAGGTAGGAGGAGAACCACCGCAAAACGGTGCCTCCCACCCCCAACCCCGCCAACCGGCGCAACATGATACCATGGTCGATGGTATCAAAAGCCGCTGAGAGGTCTAACAGGACCAGGATAGAGGAGCAACCCCTATCCCGGGCCCTCCAGAGATCATCCACCAATGCGACCAATGCCGTTTCCGTGCTGTGCCCAGGCCGGAAGCCGGACTGGAGCGGGTCTAGATAGACAGCTTCATCCAGGTACCGGGGAAGCTGTTGCGCCACCACACTCTCAACAACCTTCGCAATGAAGCGAAGGTTGGAGACTGGACGATAGTTAGCCAAAACAGCCGGATCCAGAGAAGGCTTCTTGAGGAGGGGCCTCACCACCGCTTCTTTCAAAGCGGCCGGCAGGACCCCCTCACTCAAAGAAGCGTTAACAATCTTCTGGAGCCAGCCTCGTGTCACCTCCCGGGAAGCCAGTACCAACCAGGAGGGACACGGGTCCAATAAACATGTGGTCGCGTTCAGCCGTCCCAGGACCCTGTCCATGTCCTCGGGAGCCACAGGATCAAACTCCCCCCAGATAACACTCTCAAGACCTGCCTCAGTCATCCCGTCTGGACATACCCAGTCAGAGGCCAGCCCTTCCCGAATCTGAGCGATTTTGTCATACAGATACTGCACAAAATCCTCAGCTCGACCCTGCAAGGGGTCATCCCGCACTTCCAGATGGAGGAGGGAGCGGGTCACCCTAAACAGGGCGGCCGGGCGATTATCTGATGACGCGATAAGAGCGGCAAAATAGCTAGTTTTCGCCGCTTTTATCGCCACTAGGTAGGTCTTAATATGAGACCTCACCAGTGTTCGGTCAGGTTCGGAGCGGCTGGTCCTCCAACTACTCTCCAGGCGTCTTTTCCGGCGCTTCATCTCCCTAAGCTCCTCGGAGAACCAAGGAGCTAGGTGAGTTCGGTGCCGGGTCAGAGGCCGCAAAGGCACGACTCGGTCCAAGGCCCCGGCAGCCGCACTCTCCCAGGCGGCCACCAGGTCTTCAGCCGAGTCATGAGCCAGAATCTCAGGAAATGGCCCAAGCTCCATCTGGAACCTATCAGGGTCCATCAGGCGCCTGGGGCGGAACCACCTGGTCGGTCCCGCCTCCCTGCGGCAGGGTGCAGCGGTTAGAAAGTCCAGTCGAAGGAGCGAGTGGTCAGACCATGACAAGGGTTCGATGGCTATATCCCCTATATCAAGGCCACTCAACCACTGACCAGAGACAAAAACTAGGTCCAGAGTGTGTCCTCCTGTGTGAGTGGGGTCATGAATTAACTGAGTAAGGTCCATGGCCGTCATGGAAGCCATGAACTCTCGAGCCACCTCAGACGTTTCACCGATAGATGGCAGGTTGAAATCCCCCATGATGGCAATTCTGGGGGTGCCCACCGCCACCTCGGCTATAACGTTAAGGAGCTCGGGCAGGGCCGTTGCCACGTGGCAGGGAGCCAGGTACGTGACCAACAGGCCCATCTGTACTCCACGACCCCACTTCACAAAGAGGGACTCACATCCGGCTATCTGTGGAACAGTGGTCTCCCTTGGATCCAGACCTTCCTTTATAATAACCGCCACCCCCCCGCCCCTGCCCTGAGCCCTCGACAGAGAGAGAGAGACAGATACACACACACACACACACAGAAAGAGACAGAGAGACAGACAGATACATACAGAGAGAGAGAGAGAAAGAGACAGAGAGAGAAAGAGAGACAGAGACAGAGAGAGAAACACAGAGAGAGTCAGAGAGAGAGAGAGAGAGACAGGGAGAGAGACAGAGAAATGAGACAGGTTTATTTCCTGGCAATAACTCCTGGAATTCCAATCTCTTTCCAACAACTATTGCCAATCTTTTAGGCAATCCAAATTTTGGGTTTTATATTTGGGTTTTTATTTTTGTAAGTAACCCTGAGTCACCATGAGTGAATTGGGCAATCATAAAAGTTTTCTTATTAAATAATAAATAAATAAATAAACCAAAAGCCTAAACATAAGTTGTTATCAGATGTTAGGAGTTCTAGTTGCAGAAATAGGCCACTTACCCCCACAAAGATGAACTCTGGAATTCCAAACATTATAACACAGAGAAAAGAACTTTTTAATCTATTTCACACATTTTTAGGTGGAGGGATTAAGCAGAGCATGTTCAGTTGTGTGACAGGCCCTTCTAGCCCAAAGATATATTTTCAAATGATGTGCAGTGTCACAGTGACAAAAGATATCAAAAATGGAAAACACTTAAATCATTTTAATGCCCCAAAACCTATGAGATGTCATGAGAACTTGTGACACTTATCTACCTCACAAGGTTTTGATTCTTCATACACACACACACACGTATGTGGTGTGTGTATATATTGTGCATGTATGTGAAACCTCATTTTCTCTCTATATATGCTTACAAACACATATACACACAGGTAATCCCTATTTAACAATTGTGCTGAATAGTGACATTTGCAAATATGAGAGTAATGAACAGTAATAAAAATCATTTTACAACCAATGTCTGCATTTACTGTACCCACATCAAAAGCCTTCATTGGGAAACTGATTAAAGGTCCAGTCAGTTTCAGGAAGAAGCTGTTAGCCTGGGGGACTTCTAATCAAGTAGTCCCAAAGGTGCTTTTTCAGGAGGCAACTGAACTTTCTTGTTTTTTCTTTTGAAGACGTTTTGATTCTCATCCAAGAAGCTTCTTAAGCTCTGACAGGATGGTGGGGAATAGAAGGATTTATATTCCTCGCAGACAGCTGGTCATTTGCATCCTTTTTTCAAGGACCCTCCAAAAGGATGCAGATTACCAGCTGTCTGCAAGGAATATTCCTTCCACTCCCCACCATCCAGTCAGAGCTGAAGAAGCTTCTTGGATGAGAAGCAAAATGTCTTCAAAGGAAAAAAACCAAGGAAGTCCAGTTGCCTCCTGAAAAAAGCATCTTTGGGACAACCATGGCCTGGATGACAGAGAATCTCTACAGACTTCTAATCAAGTAATTAAGCTTACAGAGCTGAGTTTGTTCGTTTGCCCATGGCACAACAATCTCTCCATGCTGCCAGGGGGCAAAAAGGTGGAGGAGGAAAGGGGTCAGGCACAGGACACTCTACGAGAGAGAACTTTATCTGAATTACAGGACGGGAGTTTCCTCTCTCTCTCTCTCTCTCTCTCTCTCTCTCTCTCTCTCTCTCTCTGTTCACTTAGCAACCATTCCAGTAAACAACCGAGTCTTCAGAAGCAACTGCAGTTAATAAATCAAGGACTCCCCCATACATATGCCTATAAGAAAAGGATTTTTAAAAAACTCATGCCTTTAATTTTATGGCTCTTATTCTCTACCTGCATTTGGATCAAAGGTCAAACCATCGTGGATATGTATATTCGTAGTACTTTTTAAAACATTTAAACAAATAACCGTATCAGGATACAGCATTGACCGATGTTCTAGTGCCGTGATGGCGAACCTATGGCACGCGTGCCACAGGTAGCACACGTAACCATATCAGCGGGCACACGAGCTCAGCTTCCAATGGGACTGTAAGTTGTCAAACGGGCCATTTTTGGCCTCCGGAGGGGTAGGGAAGGCTGTTTTCACCCTCCCCAGATGCCTAGAGAGGTCCTGGAGCCAGATGAGAAAGAAAAACGGGCCTTCCGGGCCATTGCGTGCCAGGAGCGGGGGGTGGGTGGCTCGCATAGAATTATGGGTATGGGCACGCGCCTGTGTGACCCCCCCGCCCCGCTCCTCCCCCTTCCTGGCACGCGATGGCAAAAAGGTTAGCCATCACTGTTCTAGTGCAGTGATGACTAACCTTTTTCTCTTCATGGGTCAAAAGCGTGAGTGTGCGCATGCGCCAGCCGGCACCCATAATGCAATATACCCCCCCTGCGCATGCACACATGACCCCTCCACGTTCCCCCTGCTCCCCCGCACATGTGCACACAACACACATGCATCTCCTGCATGCACCCCCTCCTGCGCATCCCAAAAATCAGCTGGCTGGTGGGAGATGCACGCATGCACGGTGGAGCTGAGCTGGGCGATGGCTTGTGGGCCCACAGAGAGGGCTCTGCATGCCAGCTGTGGCACCCGTGCCATAGGTTCACCATCACGGTTCTAGTGAGAGAGAGTAGATTACAACTTTTATAGGGTTTCCGAAATGCTGTCTAACAGAAGGAACTGGATGACTTCCTCTCACCTAAATTAGGCTCCTAAAATGAAGAAAGACCAGGAGATAAAATTTTGGTTCAGCTGCAGGGCTTAAAAAGTTCTCAAAGGTACTGTGAGGTTTAATTCTGTGTTTTGTGCACTTGGCTCCAATTGGTGAATTCGAATAAAAATAAAGTATAATCTTCAAGAATGAATTCTCTTGCCACTTCCTGCTTTACACAACTTTAAAAAAAATAATATGCAGGCCTACAACATAAATTAGAATATTAAGTACAAAGTTCAATGTGCTTAGATGAAATGGTTGAGTGATTTGCTTTGATTTTATTGACATAATTTGAAGATTATAATCACAAGAGTACAAATACAAGAGGCTAAACATTTGAAGAGCGGTTGTAGGAATTGGGTACATCTAGTTTAATGAAAAGGACTAGGGGAGACATGATAGCAGTCCTCCAATATCTCAGGGGCTGCCACAAAGAAGAGGGAATCAAGCTATTCTCCAAATCACCTGAGGGCAGGACAAGAAGCAACAGATGGAAACTAACCAAGGAGAGAAGCAACCTAGAACTAAGGAGAAATTTCCTGACAGTTAGAACAATTAATCAGTGGAACAACTTGCCACCAGAAGTTGTGAATACTCCAACACTGGAGGTTTTTAAGAAGAGATTGGACAGCAATTTGTCTGAATCACAAGGATTCCACAACTTTCAAGTGAGATAGCCAAAACCCCACACAAATATATGAATGATGGTAGTCTCTTTTGTAAAAGAAGGATACTTTAAGTGGTTGCAGGAACTGGGTATGTCTAGTTTAATGAAGAGAAGGACTAGGGGAGACATGATAGCAGTGTTCCAATAACTAAGGAGCCACTGCCCCAAAGAAGAGGGAGTCAAGCTATTCTCCAAAGCACCTGAGGGCAGGACACGAAGCAACGGATGGAAGGTAATTGAGGAGAGAAGCAATCGAGAACTAAGGAGAAATGTCCTGACAGTTAGAACAATTAATCAGTAGAACGGGTTGCTTTCAGAAGTTGTGGGTGCTCCATCACAGGAGACTTTGAAGAAGAGACTGGACAGCCACAGGAATGATGTAGGGTCTCCTGTTTGAGCAGGGGGTTGGACTAGAAGACCTCCAAGGTCCCTTCCAACTCTGTTATTCTGTTAAATTGCTTTATATTCAATTTACTGTATTTTTCGGACTATAAGGCGTCCAGACTATAAGACGCACCTAGCTTTTGGGGAGAAAAACAAGAAAAAAAAATCTACCTCTGCCTCTCAGCAATTTGCCTCCTTGCAGCAAACAGCCTGGTCAGCTACAGCACAGCCTGATTTAGCACAAGCAGCTGATTGGTGTTTGGATTGGCCTCCCGGAATACAGCCCATCAGCTGTTCCAGGTTGCTGCGATCACCACCGCCCATCGCCAGCGCCACCTATCGCTGCCTTTGCATGCCCCATTTTCAGCCTCTGTGAGTCCTGTTTTCGGTCTCTATGCCCCCCATTTTTGGCCTCCACACATCCCGTTTTTGGCCCGTTCCAGGTGGCGGGGATTGCTGCCGCCGTTGCCTATCCCTGTTGCCTGGAACAGCTGATCGGTGGTATTCCAGGAGGCAGATCCAACCGCCAATCAGCTGCTTGTGCTAAATCAGGCTGTGCTGAAGCTGACCAGGCTGTTTGCTGCAAGGATGCAAATTGCTAGGAGGCAGAGGCTGGCGGGTGGGGGCCGGCGGGTGGGCGGGGCTTCAGCAACGTTCGCTCTATAAGACACACAGATATTTCCACCCACTTTTGGGGGGGGGGGGAAGAGAACATCTTATAGTCCGAAAAATACAGTAGTTTTGAGTTTGTTCCAGCGGGAATGGGTGAATTTCATTTCTGTTCATACCTGCAGGCATAGAAAATGCTACCCATATGTGCCCCTAAAAAAATCTGATGAGCTTACAAATGTGCATTGCTGACTAACAGATTTAACATGCAGAATAGTCCAAATGAGTACTTTTGTCACTGAGGCAAACTGCTACTTACATACTGGCATTTTAAGAGTTCCAGCGGCACCCCACAGGAATTTTAAATAATTATGCCACACAAAGTAAACATTACTCAAGCTGTAATTATTGTTAGTTATGAAGCATTGTTACAGAATGTAACAAAGAATTTCTTGCTAATTTAGCTGTCGGCCAGCTAATCCTAGAGGGAACATTGGCATGGGTGATTAAAATAAAATAAAAGCAAAACTTGCTTTAGGAGTGTTAATGGGTTGGAAAATGTTAATTGTTCTGCATGACAAATTATTAACAAAGGTATTTTCTGATTCAAACTCTACCTGAACAAAAGCATTACATAAGTAACATTTTGTTCAGATGCTCCCAACTGGACACATCAACTGGGGGTTGTGGAAATTGGTTGAAATTAACATTATCTGGAGTCCACCCAGTTGGGGAAAAAAAAACCCCAAGTTTATTACAGGTTTACTATCTTCTAAGATTGATGTGGACAGCCTATATTTCCCCAGCTTTTTCTTGGTGGTTCTTGCTAAATTAAACTACTGAAATTCAGTTTCAAACCGTCAAATTAAGAAGCATTTTTTTTTTCTCTCTCTGGAAAAAAACAAGGCACAGGAGGTTAGTTGGCGGCTTCTGGGGTCCATTTTATTTGAGAACTCTCCAAAAGAATTTTTATTTTACTTGTTAATTTTATTTGCTGCCTATCTCACCGTGGGGCGACTTTAGGCACTTTACAACAATAAAAAGGAAGAAATGAAAGGACTTTTCCCAGGACAGAAGATAATAGACCAATAAAAAGAACATAATGAGAACACATCAATATGATAACCGAAAAAGACGGGATGACGGAGAGCAGAGAACAAGGGGAGGAAGGCGAGGTAGAGTCTGCCATTAACCTAGCAGCCACTTCTAGCTAGTGTTTATATTTAACAAATAAATATGTAATAAATAAAAGTATTCTGAAAATTTCTTTCCCATGTTTTTTGGTTATTTTATTATTCCCATACTTTCAGTGAGTGAAATTTAAAAGGCTAGACCAGTGATGGCTAACCTTTTTGCCGTCGCGTGCCAAAAGCGGGAGGAGTTGTGCATGCGTGTATCCACACCCATAATTCAATGCTCCCCCACACCCCGCCCATGACCCCCCCGCACTCCCCCCACTTTTGGCACGCGATGGCAAAAGGATTACTGGTGGGCCCAGTAGGCCCGTTTTTCGCCCTCCCCAGGCTACAGAGGCTTTCTTGGAGCCTGGGGAGGGCGAAAGAGGCCTCCGCCCCCCCCTTCCCCCGGAGGCAGGAAATGGCCCATTTCCCGACTTCCGATGGGACAGAAGGCCCGAAAATCAGCTGGCCGGTGCACGCACGTGCGCTGGAGCTGAGTTAGGGCAACGCTCATGTGCCCACAGATATGGCTCAGATATGACCTAAACATGAAACTTCCCCACACCTGTATGGATAGGACATATTCCACAAAGAGGGAGGCAGTTTGGTGTACAGGTTAAGGCAGGGGTGTCAAACTCAATTTCATTAAGGGCCGCATCAGGGCTGTGGTTGACCCTTGGGGGTCCAGGTGGGCGTGGCTGACTGGGTGGGCGTGGCCAGCTTGACACCACTCCCCAAATTGCTGGTATGTTTCCTCTTTGCATTTGGTAGACAGAGCCGAAGCGACACTGGCCTGATGTTTCCTATTCGCATTGGGTAGACCGGGCCGAAGCATACGGGCTGGCCCCTTACATTTTCCAGGACGGCCCCATGGGCCAGATCCAACTAAATTGCAGGCCACATCTGTTGAGTTTGATACCCGTGGGTTAAGGTGCTGGTGTAAAACCAGGAGACTATGAGTTCTAGTCCTGCCTTAGGCATGAAAGCCAGCTGGCCGGTCACTCTCAGCCCAACCCATCTCACAGGGGTTGTTGTTATGGGGAAAATAGGAGGAGGAAGGAGCATTGAGTATGTTCACCAACTTCAGTTACTTGTAAAACTATTAAAGGCGGAATAAAAAACTAATAAATAAAAAAAAAACAACGGATGAAAGCAAGACAGATGAATTAGAACAGTATATTTACCATTATTTCATAGGAATGGTCACTCTGATGCTTCTTATATTCAAATCCTCTTGTGAAGCACTGGAAAACAAGGTTCGTGTTTTTTTTTTTTCTTCGTTCTTGATAAAAGCGGTTTTGAGGAATCACAAAATACGGGGTCCCAGCCTCCCCTTCCCACCAATACCACCACATCATCCCAAGCAAAAAGGTCTTGTTATTGTTGTCATTTACAGACACATTTCCAGCAAACGTTTTCCCTGTGCTGGCATTGTTTCATAAAACACGTCAAGAAATCACACACCCAGAATAAAGCTTTTTGGGGGGGGGAACCCCTCTCCCTTTCAAACCAGGTGAATATGATCAATGTCGAAAATTGACAAGGAGTCTCTTCTGGAAGAAAGAAGAGAATTCTTCTCCGTTTTCACTTGGCCTGTCCAATAAAAATCAGCCCCAGCGGCCAAGAGATCGTCCTTGCATTCTCTTCTCTCTCCTTGTAAATATAATTTACCTGCAAGCATAGCAGAAAAGGAGGTGGGCTGCATTCTGCACATTTGATGTAGGGTTCTGCAAGGTAAGAGGAACACCCTCGGCATGGTGGCTTGTCAAAAGGGTCACCTGAGAAAGAGAAAAACTAAAATGAAATTTATAAGCAAAGGGTAGGCTTCCCTTAGCCAATGTTCTGACCTAGGCTCCCTTAAAAAGCAGGAAAGCAGAGTCTTGGTCCTGGCAAAACCTCTTTTGTTTACACAACTGTGAATTCCGTTCATTCACAGTCAGCAAGGCCTGTCCAAACAGTCTTTCAAAGGAATATTTATTAACACAGACCTTATCTCGCTTGGAAAGGTGCCAGGTAACTAGTTTCCAAATGCAGTGCAAGGCAAAACTTGGCACAGAGTCTCTCAGAGTCACGGAACGAACAAATTGTTTCCTGCAAAACCCCACTCCCCGTTCGCTCTTTTGTTTCCTATGGGAGAGGCCAATCACCTCCAAGGTGCGGCTTTACTCCCGAGTCGACCCTGCTTTCTGAGTTGTTCTAGTCTTCTGGCAGCTCTGTGGTGCGCACTGGGAACGGGCTCCATCTGTTCCTCTGCCTCGCTGCTTTCTACCTCCCGCTCTGCCTCTTGACACAGAGCCCTTGTCTGAGCTTTCCCCAGCCCCCAGGATGGCCCAAGCTCCACCCCAACCTCCTTGCTGTCCGACTCTGCTGCCAGCTCTGCTGGCCGCCAGCAGCCCACAACAGCCAACTTCTTATCAGCAGAACATTGGGTATGTATATGTGTGAAACCTGAATGCTGACTTGAGGGTCGATCATCATTACAAGAAACACAGCCAAAGTTCTACAATCTCTTATTTCATAATTACACGCACTCAGAATTTAATATGCAGGTAGTCGTCAACTTGTCTGTTTAGTCAAAGAGTTCCCCGATGATTCCGGCTTTGCGGACTGGCGGGGGTAGGAGGGAGGGAATGATTCATGCAAGCGTCTAGTAAGCATGCATGCAGCTCCATTTCTGTGAGCTGCATGCACGTGTGCCTGCCGTTCACGCAAATGGAGCATGCGTGCACATGCTCATGCATGTGAGGATGTGCGTGCGCATTCACTGGCCATTTCCACGGCCCAATTGCAAACCCTTCACAGCCCACTAGTGGGCAGCAGTCCACAGGTTGGGGACCCCTGTGGTTAGTGATAGTTTGAAGTTACAACTCCAGTGAAAAAAAGCGACTTACAACTGTTGCTCACACTTAGAAACAACACAGCATCCCCACAGTCACCTGATGAAAATTGGGATGCTTGGCAACTGGCATGTATTCACAATAACTGCAGGGCCTGGGGTCATGTGATCCCCATCTGTGATCTTTCCAGCCAGCTTTTGACAAGCAGAAGCAGTGAGGGAAGCTTGATTTACTTTACAGCTGTGTGCTTCACTTAACTGCGGTGATTTAGCACTTAGCAATAACACTTAGACTTATATACCGCTTCACAGTGCTTTACAGTCCTCTCTAAGCGGTTTACAAAGTCAGCCTATTGCCCCCAACAATCTGGGTCCTCATTTTACCCACCTTGGAAGGATGAAAGTCTGAGTCAACCTTGAGCTGGCTGTGGGCAGTTAGCCCATAGCAATAGCATTTAGACTTATATACCGTTTTACAGCACTCTCTAAGTGGTTTTGCAGAGTCAGCATATTGCCCCCAACAATCTGGGTCCTCATTTTACCCACTTCGGAAGGATGGAAGACTGAGTCAACCTTGAGCCTGGTGAGATTCGAACTGCCAAACTGCTGGCAATCGGGTCAATAGAAGTAGCCTCCAGTATTGCATTCTAACCACTGTGCCACCATGGCTCTTGATTTTTTTAAAAACCGTGGCAAAAAGGTCATAAAATGGGGCCCAACTGGGATCGTGAGTTGAGGACGTGCTGCATTTGTTATGCCATGTCTCACCCATTCAACTGGATGTAGAAAATCCATTTGCTTGGGAGTGCACGGTGACATTGACCAAAATGATCTCATGATGTCTTTACTACGCTAGGAAGAATGAGTCTGCTAGCACCTTTAATTGTTACTGGATTTATTATGGTAGATAGCATCATTGATGAGCACTAGTAGAGTGGGTGAAGTTTCCACTTGAATAGGCTAGTCTATGTTTATCAATACCAAAAGCGGAAATAAAACCACTAAGAAATGCAAGCTACGTGGTGCTTTAACCATTCAATTAAGTGACCATTCTGGACACCAGTCATGAATGACAACTATTTGGTGTCCTTGTGTTGATTAGCACATGTAACAAGACCAGAAGCCTTTGTCCTTAGTCATGGCCAGAGAGAATTCTCTCTTACAAACTTGACCCTGGATTCTCCCTTTAAAATTCCTCTGTTAGAAGATGGCAACTTTCAGAGAAGCATAAGTTTTGGGAGGAGGAGGACTAGGGTTAAGATACACATCATGAGGGCTGTCCTAATCCTTTTCATTCTTTGCTTTGACTCATCCTTGTGTCTGGTCCTAGCCCTGGAAGGGAATGCTGACAACAGTGGAGCTCTTTGTCAACTAAGCATCTTTACTGCCATCTAGTGGTTATAACAAAAAAGGGATGTGGTGGCTCAGTGGCTAAGACGCTGAGGTTGTCGATCGAAAGATCGGCAGTTCAGCAGTTCGAATCCCTAGTGCCGCATAACGGGGTGAGCTCCTGTGACTTGTCCCAGCTTCTGCCAACCTAGCAGTTCAAAAGCAGGTAAAAAATGCAAGTAGAAAAATAGGGACCACCTTTGGTGGGAAGGGAACAGCGTTCCGTGCGCCTTTGGCGTTTAGTCATGCCGGCCACATGACCACGGAGACGTCTTTGGACAGTGCTGGCTCTTCGGCTTTGAAACGGAGATGAGCACCGCCCCCTAGAGTTGGGAATGACTAGAACATATGTGCAAAGGGAACCTTTACCTTTAGTGGTTATACAAATGTTTGCAGGCCATCTACAATCACCCTAAACCAGGGGTGTCAAACTCGATTTCATTGAGGGCTGCATCAGGGTTTTGTTTAACCTCAGAGGCTGGGGGTTGCAGTGGGGCATGGCGTGGCCATGGTGGGCATAACATGAGATTCGTGTCGGGGGCACCTGTGGTGGCCAAGTGCTAAGGCAAGACTTCCCCGAGACCCTCCTTCACTCTCATTTTAATCTCCTTCCGTTCTTCTCTTCTTTTTCCTTCCCTCTTCATTCTCCTTTCTTCTTTCCTTCTTTTTCCTTCCTTGCTCTCTTCCCATCTTCCCTTCTTTTTCTTTGTCTTTCCCTTCCTCCTTTCCTGTCCTTTCTTCCATGCTCAAATGCAAAAGGGGAAACGTTTCTCCTTTTCTTTTGTTTTTGGTTTGTTTTCATAGTTCTCTGCCAGTGAAAACGGAGCTCAAGGGGGCTGCACGCGTGCCCCCCCCGCACCCCATTTTTGGGCTGGACAGCCTCCTGCAGCCCTCTGCCAGCAAAAATGGAGCTCAGGATGCCCCCCACCAAAGCTCCGTTTTCACTAGCAGAGGCACCACGGGCCAATCCTTCGCTGTTTCAGGGTGGCCCTGTGGGCCAGATCTAAGCACCACAGGGGCCGGATCGAGCCCACGGGCCTTGAATTTGACACCCCTACCCTAAACCAATAGCTGTTTTATTGGGGAAGAAAGGAAACACATACAGGTAGTCCTCGACTTACAACAGTTTGTTTAGTGACCATTTGAAGTTAGAACGGTACTGAAAAAAGTGACTTATGACCATTTTTCACACCTATGACCATTGCAGTGTCCGTATGATCATGTGATTTACGTTCAGATGCTTGACAACTGGTTCATATTTATGACTTATGTCTCATTTAACAACAGAAATTTTGGGCTCAATTCTGGTCGCAAGTCAAGGACTGCATGCATTGTAATAAAATACGTTTAGTTGTTTTAAGTTGCCTTAATACTCATAGCTGTTTTTGCTAAGGCTAATTGGACTACTATTTAAGAGATAGCTACATTCATCTCTTTTCTGTACTGGGGAAGTTTGGGAGTTGAAGTCCACAGGTCTTGAAGTTAACATGGTTGGACACCCCTGCTCTACCTCTGTCCTTTTTCACAGAAAGCAGAGGAGTAGATCCATTTCTCTGGTGAAGAATCTACTTTCTCACAGAGAAAGTAGATCAGGGCAACCTGATCTACTCAAATATGGGATGGAGCATACTGCTTCCTCTTTCGCCTTTCAGCCCCAATCTGGGACCCTTCGCAGTCGCTTTCGGGACAAACTACTGTTATTTTTCAGACTATAAGAAGCACCTAAATTTAGAAGAGGAAAACAACAACAAAAAGTTTTTGGCCTCCCTTTTTTTGGCCCCTTTTTCGGCCCTTTTCCAACCTTTTTTCAGCCCATTTTCGGGTCTTTTTTCAGACATTTTTTGAGGCACTTTTGGCCCATTTTCAAGGCTTTTTTCGGCCTGCTTTTGAGGCTTTTTTGGGGGGGGCGTTTTTGGGGCTTTTTTTGGCCCGTTTTTGAGACTTTGGAAAAAATGGGCTGAAAAAAGCCTTGAAAACGGGCCGAAAAAGTCTCAAAAACAGCCTGAAAAAAGCCCCCAAAACAGCCTGAAAAAAGTCCCAAAAACAGCCCGAAAAAAGCCTTGAAAATGCCCCCCAAAAAAGGCCTGAAAAAGGCCAAAAAAAGGCCAGCGGGTGGGTGGGGCTTCAGCAATATTCAGTCTATAAAGCGCACAGACATTTTCACCCCCTTTTGGGAGACAAAAAAGTATGTCTTATAGTCTGAAAAATATGGTATTTTTGTGTTAAATTTTATATTTACCAACAAAGAAAGGGAGACTAGATCTATTTCAACCTATTTAGCTCTCATCAGCTAGCCATACCCATATTTGGGTAGACCAGGTTGCCCTGATAAAAAACACTTAATCTCTCCCCTGGTATAGCCAACAAAACTAGGAGAGCTGGTTGCTTAGAGGTTAATACACCTACCTCATATGTAAGCAGCCCAGGTTCGAATCCCAGAAAGCTGATGAGAGCTAAATAGCTTGAAATAGATCTATACTAGTCTCCCTTTATTTCTTGGTTGGTAAATATAAAGTTTAACATCTCTCTGGTGTATAAAAAAATGGCAAATGCCTTTGAGCCACAGAACTGCAGAATTGGAAGGGACACCACAAAGGGCTATTCCAGCTCTCTGAAATCTGCTGGACAATTATTCCATCTTTGGCCTCTTAAAATTGCCAGAGACAGAGAACTCACAACCTCTACTGTTATAATTGTTCCACAATATAAGGATATCGTGCTTCATATATGAGGCATGTTCTAACTTCACCAAGCCATAGAGTCTAATGCTAAGTACTACTAATTTAACCTATTTAAACAAAGGTTAAATAGCATTCTTGGTTGTAATGAGGTTTTTTTTTCCAATTTCAGAGTTAACATTACTTACTGCTGAATGAAGCCAGGTGATCCATGGTCCTTTCTAAGTTGTAAAGGTATCTGCCTTCTTTTGAATGATGTTTTATGGACACTCAGCCACTGAAAGAAAGGGGAAAAAACACATATCTAGCAATTTCCAAGCACTGAGAAGGTGTTGGATATCTTCACCACCTCATTTGTAAAAATAATAAAGGCGGGATATAAATATATAAATGCATGAAAGTAATTTGAACGTGTTGGGAATTGAGTGGTTAAGAAGTATGTGATGTAAAACAAGAATCTGAGATACAATGCAGAAATGGTGAATGAACATGGATTGAACACAATAGTGCATGATTAAGAATGAATGGATTGCATCACAAAATATGTCAGTCCTCGACTTACAACCATTTGTTTAGTGACCATTCAAAATTACAGCAGCACTGAAAAGTGACATGACCATTTTTTAACTTATGACCGTTGCAGTATCCCCATGGTCATGTGATCAAAATTCCCAGAAGACAAAAGTTGCCAAGGTTGGACATCCCTGTCTTATTTGTTGTTGTTAGTTGCGAAGTCGTGTCCGACCCATCACGACCCCATGGACAACGTTCCTCCAGGCCTTCCTGTCCTCTACCATCCTCTGGAGTCCATTTAAACTCACGCCGACTGCTTCAGTGACTCCATCCAGCCACCTCGTTCTCTGCCGTCCCTCTTCTTCTTTTGCCCTCAATCATTCCCAGCATTAGGCTCTTCTCCAGTGAGTCCTTCCTTCTCATTAGGTGGACAAAGTATTTGAGTTTCCTCTTCAGTATCTGGCCTTCTAAAGCAGGGGTCTCCAACTGTGGCAACTTTAAGCCTTGTGGACTTCAAGTCCCAGAATTTCTCAGTCAGCAAACCTTAACAAAGCAAAGCTGGCTGAGGAATTCTGGGAGTTGAAGTCCACAAGGCTTAAAGTTGTCAAGGTTGGAGACCCCTGTTCTAAAGAGCAGTCAGGGTTGATCTCCTCCAGGACTGACTGGTTTGATTGCCTTGCGGTCCAAGGGACTCGCAGGAACAGCCTATTAGATGGCTCAGTTGCTAAGACACTGAGCTTGTCGATCAGAAAGGTTGGCAGTTCGACGGTTCGAATCCCTAGTACAGGTCTGGGTGATCAGGGGGTTGGACTAGATGACCTCCAAGGTCCCTTCCAACTCTGTTACTGTTATTATTAATGAATTGCTCATACATGCAGTTTTCATGTAAAGTATCCCAAAGTGGTTTGGCCCTTGCTTTCTATTTAAGCATTTTTCCAACTTTCCAGCCCGAGGGGAGAAAGAAAAAAACAAACAAACCCATGCAAACAAAACTTGATGGGGTTGCAGCTGGAATTAACGCCGCTGCCCTCTAGAGGGCGACAAACCGCTACATCTCGTTCCTGACCATCTCCTCAACCGCTCCTTCCCTCCCTCCTTTCCCAGATCGCTGCTTACGTCAGCGGCACGCGGCCCCCCTCGTCCAATGAGCGGGAGCCGCCGCTGCCGGCGCACGCGCAACCCCCGCCCGCGTGGCTCTTCACGGCACGCGCGCTCCCCGCTTTTGCCGCCCTCCCCCTCGTTCTTTCCCCCCCCCACCGCCGCCGCCGCGCATGCCCTCTTTCCGGCTCTTCTTTCTCCCGCTTCCCCCTCCCGCCGAATCCCCTCCCCGGCTTATTTATTGGTACTGATTTATTTCTTCCTTTACTCTTTTCGTTCCACCGAAGCCGGCTTGCTTTGCGCCTCAGCCGGCCTCCTGACGTTCAACGGTACCTGCTCCGGACAACCAACCCGGGCGGAAGGTCCTGAAATCTTTCTGCCTCTTTTTTTTTTTCCTCTTGCCCTCCCTTGTTGATGCTTTGCCGGCGCGCGCGCCTCCTCCTCACGCTCCCGCTCGGACGTGCTCGGGCGCGATCGGGAGTGGGCGGGGCATCGGGGAGGTCGCGCACGCGGCGCCTCCTTTTTCTCCCTCCGCGCCCCCCCTCCCTCCCGGCGGGCCCCGCCCCCCTCCTGCTTTCCCGCCTTTTCCAGAGCGCTCGCTCCCGCCCAGCGACGCTTTTGAGGCGGGCGCGCACGCGCTCTCCAGGGGTCCGTTTTAAGCATCAATGAGGAAAAGGAGGGCGAGGCGTTTCTATTTGGTTGAGACAAATGAAATAAATTAAATAAAAATAAATAAATAAATAAAATAAATAAATAAAAATAAAATAATAAAAATAAAAAACGGTCTCCTGCTTGAGTGGGAGTTGAGGTTGGACTAGATGACCTCTAAGGTTCCTTCCAACTCTCTTTAATGTTAGCCCGCCGGCCCTTCCTTCCCCCCCCCTTAAAATAAATTAGACAATGTGGGAAATAAACACTTAATTTAGCTCTAAAATGAACCATTAGCAATGAAAATTGGGAAATTAATGACCAGTATAATGCTGTGTGTGGTAAATAAATCAAGTGCTTCTCTCAACCTCAAGACATTTAAGACCTCAGGACTTCCAACTCCCAGAATTCTGGCTGGGGAATTCTGGGAGTTGAATGAAGTCCACACACATCTTTAGTTTCTGAGCACAGGTAGTCCTCGATTTATGACCATAATTGAGCCCGGCATTTCTGTTGTTAAAGGAGATGTTTAAGTTAGTTTTGCCCCATTTTATGACCTTTCTTGCCACCGTTGTTAAGTGAGTCACTGCAGTTGATAAGTTAGTAACCTGGTTAAGTGAATCAGGCTTCCTCCCCATTGACTTTGCTTGGCAGAAGGTTGCAAAAGGGGATCACATGACCTTGGGACACAGCAAGTCAAAAATATGAGTTCGTAGCCAAGCAACCTGAATTTTAATCACATGACCATAAAGATGCTGCAAAGGTCATAAGTGTGAAAAATGGTCATAAGTCACACAGTGCTGTTGTAATTTTGAATGGTCACTAAAGGAAAGTTGTAAGTCAAGGACAACTTGTGTCTTCTATGGAGAGCGTCATCCCTTTTCAAAAGGCAACTGGACTTTCTTAGTCTGGTTGCTTTTTTGAAAATCACCTTTGGGTAAAGTTTCTGAGGTTGAGAAACACTATTTTGGGAAGCTCCATTCAGAGCCTGGCTCACAACCTTGTATTGTAAGTCACCTATTGAGTCCACTTATACCAGAAGGAGCTTCTTACTCCATTTCTTGCATTGATCGAGCCTTACTTTCTTGCAGGCTCCTTCCTCCCTGCCCCCCCCCCCATTTCTTTATTTCTCTTCTCTTCCCTCCCCTCCCTCCTTGTATTCTTTTCCTTCCTTCCTTCCCTCTTTTTCTTATTCTCCTTTCTACCCCCTCCTTTCCCCATTCCTCCCTCCCTCCTTCCTCTCTTATTCTCCTTTCTACCCCCTCCCTTCCCATTCCTCTTTTCCTTATTCTCCTTCCTTTCTACTACTCCCTTCCTTCCCATTCCCTCCCTTCCTTTTCCCTTCCCTTCCCTTCTTCCTTCCCATTCCCTCCCTTCCTTATTCTCCTTTCTACCCCCCTCCCTTCCTTCCCATTTTCTCGCATTTTCTCCTTTCTTTCTACCCCCCCTTCTCTTCCTTTCCCCCTCCTTCCTTCCTTCCCATTCTCCCTTATTCTCCTTTCTACCGGTCCTTTCTCTTCCCTTCCTTTCCCCCTCCTTCCTTCCTTCCCTTCCCTCCCTTCTTCTCCTTTCTACCCGTCCTTTCTCTTCCCTTCCTTTCCCCCTCCTTCCTTCCTTCCCATTTCCTCCTTTCTTCTCCTTTCTACCCCCTCCTTCCTTCCCATTTTCTCCCTTATTCTCCTTTCTTTCTATCCCTCCTTTCTCTTCCCTTCCCTTCCTTTCCCCTCCTTCCTTCCCATTCTCCCTTATTCTTTCTTTCTACCCCACCTTTCTTTTCCCTTCCTTTCCCCCTCCTTCCTTCCTTCCTTCCCATTTCCTCCCTTCTTTTCTTATTCTCCTTTCTACCCCCTCCCTCCCTTCCCATTTCCTCCCTTATTCTTTCTTTCTACCCCTTCCCTTTTCTCTTCCTTCCTCCCTCCCTCCCTCCATCTCGCTGTCCAAAGCGACTCTAGGGGAGGTGCACTACATTGTGCTCAAACACCACAAGTTCCTCCAGATCACCCCGTCATCCCTAATTGACAGCAGCAGATCACTTCCAATCCCTATTACGTTCTTCCCATCAGAATTAAACGATGGGCGAAATATGCCTGCAACAGGTAAAAATCCCGCCCACCCCTCTCCGGTCTCTAGAAATAGTCCCGCCCGGAACCTTTGTGACGGCTGCGTGTTTTCCCCGGATCGCTTAAGGGGCAGGACAAGCAAGATGGCGGCGGCTGCCGTAGATCCACGTGGGGAGGCGAAAACTCTCAGCGCTGAGTTGGAAGAAGACGATAGTGGTAAAACTGGGGAGGGGATTTGCAACTGGTTAGCCGGCTAATGGGTGGCCGATGGGAGAAGAGGCGGCGGCAGTTGTGGAGAAAGCAAAAGGGTTTCTGCTTAAAAAGCGATGGACGAATCAGCTGTATTTATAACGGGAAGTGTAGGATAAAGGGGACCCTATGAGGGATGTCTGACTAATATGCCTTCTTTCCCAGCTCATTAAATCTGGTGTCTGTCGATTTCCCATTTCTCAGCTGTGTGGGTCACTGGCTTTTCTTGGGTTACCAATAAAGGAGAATATTTGTAGCTCGGAGTTGAAATGAGGGGTCCTTGGTGCTCTGTGAGCTTGCTTGTTTTCTTGCAGACGTTTCATTACCCAAACTAGATAACTTCATCAGTGGTAGTACTGGTGATGATGTTACCTAGTTTGGGTAATGAAAAAAGAAAACAAGCAAGCTCAGAGAGCACCAGGGATCCCTCTTTTCTTGGATTGGTTTATTTCTTTGTTCGATATTAATTGCCACTATTAGAAAATAATAATTGTGCTCAGAATTGAACTGTGGGGTCCTTTATGCTCTCTGAGCTTGGTTGTTCGTTTGCAGATGTTTCATTCTCCAATTACCTAATGGGTAACATTACCTATTACCTAGTAATAGGTACTAGCAATGTTACCTAGCAATGAAACGTCTACAAAAAAACAACAACCAAGCTCAGAGAGCACCAAGGACCTCACGGCATTAATTGCTTCACAAAAGGCAGCCTTGTCACCCCTCTAAAACTTAAACTGATGACATTTCCTCATAAGGTAGTGAAATTGAGAGATCGATTAGGCTGATGTGGAGCCCTGATGACCACGTAAATAAATTTCCCCTGGAGGATCTGTTTTCAACTTGATCCTTCAAGTGTTATAACTGTTCATTTATAGCCACTGTAACTCAGTCCAACCTCCTGGCTGCTGGTCATCCTCTGCTCTATCCTGCTTCTTTGGGATTTGACGTTCACTTTCATAGTGCTGCTTGCGCTGTTGTGATCTTTGTAGATATCACAGCATCTGAATATTTTTACAAGGCCTTCGTGGCTGCTCCTAACAAGTGCTACACCATTGCTATTTGTTGATTGCTTTTTCTTTACTGTTAATGGGTAATCCTAAAAGAAGATATAGACCTCTTCATTGTCAGTCCCGATTGTTGTACCTTTGTCATTAAATTGGTTGTCTTTATCTTTGATTTTAGGAGAAAATATTTCCATTTTTTGGCTATCAAGTAGCTACAATAGCATAGTACAGATTGTTGATGTTTCTTCCTTCAATTTTAAAACTGTATCATCTTTCAGTCCAACTTCCCTTAATATACTGTATATTCAGGCTTGAATAAATAAGGAGAGAGTTTCTTTTAGGATCCGAGTGGAGTTCAGGAGTTCCAGAAGATAGCTTTTCAAGTGATGATGGAGAGCAGGATGATGAAGTTGATGATACGCCTAAGACTCCAGATACCAAAGTTAAAGATGAAGAGGAATCCAAAGAAACAGGAAACGCTGGATGGGCTGAAGCCATGGCCAAAGTGCTTAACAAAAAGGTTTCTAGTGATAAGCCCACTATCCTGTTGAAAAACAAGGAGCGGGATGTAGAACGAAAAAAAGAAAAGCAAGAGAGATTGGAGCAGAGGAAGAAGGTAGGGAAAGCAGTTGAATATTACCGCTAGTATTCAAGAGATGTGCAGTGGCTGAGATTCAGGTCATGCTCAACATATGATCACAATTGAGATCAGAATTTCCATTGCTAAGTGAGGTGGCTGTTAAGTGACTTCCCCCTGATTTTACTTTTTTGCCATCATTGTTAAGCAAATCACAGATTCCCCCATTGATTTTGCTTGTCAGAAGCTGGCTGGGAAGATTGCAAATGATGATCATGTGACCTGACAAGGTGCAGCCATCCCAAATACATGCTGGTTGCCAACTGCCCAAATTTTGATCACATGACCCTCAGGATGCTGTGATGGTCATTGTAAGTCACTTTTTTTCAGCGCCATTGCAACTTTGAACAGTCATTAAATGGATGGTTGTTAAGTCGAGCATTCCTTATATGACAAAACCCTAATTTTGGCAAGTTGTCTATTGTTAACTACCTATAGTTTCTTGGATACGTGTGCAGCCATATAAATTGGATTAAAAAATAAATCTAAGTAATCTGTTGTTAAATATATAAAATGAATGTTTTAATTCTGTTTTTATGTTACAAAATTTAGAGATTGTCCAACTCTAGGTGGGTCTGGATGGCTTACACATTTGAAAAGTTGCTATCCAATAGTACAGGGGTGGGCAACTGTGGCCCTTTTACAACCTGTGGACTTAACTCCCAGAATTCCTGAGACAGCCAAGCTGTGTCAGGAATTCTGGGAGTTAAAAGTCCACAGGTTGTAAAAGGGCCACAGTTGCCCACCCCTGCAATAGTTTATATCTGGTGTCAAACTCGTGGTGTAACGTGACGTCAACAACAGTTAAACCATTGATGGCAGGGGTGAAATCCAGCAGGTTCTGACAGGTTCTGGAGAACCAGTGGCGGAAATTTTGAGTAGTTCGGAGAACTGGCGAATACCACCTCTGTCTGGCCCCAGAGTGGGGTGGGAATGGGGATTTTGCAGTATCCTTCCCCTGCCACGCCCACCAAGCTACACCATGCCCACCAAGCCACGCCCACAGAACCGGTAGTAAAAAAATTTGAATTTCATCACTGATTGATGGGCTCCGTATCCCCCTGGAGTCATCATGCCAGTTGACCAAACCATTTTATTATTAATAAAAAAATATTATATGTATATGAAATCTTATTCTGTTCACCGCCCTGAGTCCTTCGGGAGAAGGGCGGTATAGAAATTCAATAAATAATAATATAATAAATATCTTCAGAGCCATTTTAAAAAGATATCAAGATGGGGGCCAATCTTATCTCTGCAGAAATGATGCTTCACAGGGAGGGAGCCACTATGCAGAACAACCTTCTTGGTCCCATCAGATGGACCTCCTTAAGAGAGGGAACCCGTAACATTCCTGCTCTGTTCTGGTAGGTCAAGTAGACATAACTGGGAAAAGCAGTCCTTCAGATAGCCTGGCCTTAAGCTATGTAGGGCTGTAAAGGTGTCAACCAGCATCTTGAATTGGAGCCGGAAGCAAATCACCCACCGGTGCAGCTCCTGCAAGAGAGATAACACGTGTGCAAATCTAATGCACAAAACCATGCAGGATTCCACATTTTTAACTAATTGAGGCTTCAGGATACTTTTCAAGGATACTTTTCAATTTAATTGAAGGAAAGCAAATTTATCCTTCCTGCAGGAAAAAAGACTTCTCTTTGTCTTTCCTAAAGTTGCTCTTTGATGTGGAAGCGGGAGTATCAATAATCGTAATGATAGTGTTTTCCTGTAGCAGATTATAGTTTGGAGGGCATTTTCACTTCAAGCTTTAGCTAGAATTCTTCCTTCAGTGCTATCTGTTAAATGACTAATTTCTCCCCTGTGTTTGTAACCCAGCTGAATAAAAAGCGGGAATGGGAAATGATGTGCCGAGTGAAACCAGATGTTGTCAAAGACAGAGAAGTTGAGAGAAATCTTCAGAGGATTGCCACCAGGTAAAACTGAACATTTGGTCTTTGGAAAGATTTTAGATTTAGATTTAATAAAGATCTTGCCTTTATTATTTTTATAAATAACTCAAGGCAGTGAACATAACTTATACATGTAATCCTCAGCGTACGACTACAATTGAGCCCAAACTTTTTGTTGCTAAGTGAGACATTTGTTAAGTGAGTTTTGCCCCATTTTGTGACATTTCTTGCCACAGTTGTTAAGTGAATCACTGAAGTTGTTAAGTTAGTAATATGGTTGCTAAGTGAATCTGGCTTCTCCATTGATTTTGCTTGTCAGAAGGTCGCAAAAGGGGAGCATATGACCCTGGGACATGGCAAATATGTTCATAAATATGAACCAGTTGCCAAGCATCCAAATTTTGATCGTGACCATGGGGATGCTGCGGTCATAAGTGTGAAAAATGGTCATAAATCACTTTTTTTCAGAGCCATTGTAACTGAACGGTCACTAAATGAACTGCTGTAAATCGAGGACCACTTGTATATGGGTCTATGTCATAAAATATGAGCCAAAGTGTTCAGAAGTCTTATTAAAAAACCTTAAAATATAGTTTAGAGCTAGACTGTAATGTATCAAATAACCGAGCTGGATTTCTTTGACTATTGAATAAGCTTGATAATTGAAAAAAATATTTCTGATATCCTAGTTAGTCCTCGACAGCCACTGGTTTGATGATTATTCAAAATTACAATAGCGCTGAAAAAAAATCACTTACCACTGCCACTCACACTTAGAACTGCCACAGCATCCCCATGGTTACGTGATCAAAATTCAGCACTTGGCAACCGGCATAAATATACAACAGTTGCAGGGATTGTATGATCTCAATTTGTGACCTTCTCCTAACAATTCTAGCAAAAAAAAAAAAAGGACCTAAAATTGGCATGACTCACTTAAGTGCTTTGCTTACCAATGGGAATTCTAGCCCCAATTGTGACCATAAATTGAAGGTTACCTATAAATAGGGTTCCTTGTTGAGGCTGTATCAAGAGGGACCATAAACATTGCTTCTGTCATTAAACCTAGCTGCCTAATGATTCCTTTTAATTTCCAGGGGTGTAGTTCAGTTATTCAATGCGGTCCGGAAGCACCAAACCAATGTGGATGAGAAGATAAAAGAAGCAGGCAGTTCTGAGAGGAAGCGAGCAAAATTGATCTCCTCGGTTTCCAAAAGAGACTTCATCAGCGTCCTCCGAGGAATGGATGGAAAAGAAATGGAACAAAACCCTGCTAGAAAGTCGTCAAACAGCCGTCAGGTAAGGGATGTTCAATCACTTTTTTTGGTGCTGTCATAACTTTGAACAGTTGCTAAACAAATGATTCTATGTTAACGACACTCTGTACATCACGGGTGTCAAACTCAAGGCCCGCAGGCCAGCCCTGGCTTGTGGGTTGCTTAGATCTGGCCTGCCGGGCCGGCCTGGGAACAGCAAAGGACCGTTCAGCAGTGCCTCTGCCAGCAAAAACTGAGCTCGGGGGTGGTGGTGAGTGCGACCCCCTCCCCGTGGTCCGTTTTCCCTGGCAGAGGGCTGCAGGAGGACATGTAGGCTGAAAACAGAGTGCAAGGGGACACGCATGGACCTCTGGGCTTCATTTTTGAAATGTTTCCCCTTTTGCATTTGAGCATGCAAGAAGAGACAGGAAAGGTAAAGGGAAAGAGGAAAGACAAAGAAGAAGAGAGCAAGGAAGGAAAAATAAGGAAAGAGGAGAAGGAAGAAGAAAGAATGAAGAGGGAAAGAAAAAAAGGAAGGAAGGAAGGAAGGAAATTAGTTAGTTCCTTAGCACTTGGCCATGACAGTGCCCTGGCACAAGTCCCATGTCATGTTGCCACAGCCCTCCGAAGTCAAACACAACCCCGATGTAGCCTTCAATGAAATCAAGTTTGACACCCCTGCTGTACATGGATTTGAAAGGAATAGGAATATTCTTTATTGGCCAAGTGTGATTGGACACAAGAGGAATTTGTCTCCGGTGGATAAGCTCTCAGTATACATAGAAACAACAAAGTGATAAGTCAAAGATTGTAAATCATAAGATACAATTATAAAGATACAAACAAGTGAAAAATCATAAGATTGCAATAGGATAAAGTAGTAGGAAAGATGAGAAGATGAGAAGGATAATAGCAATACAGCCCTACTACATGAGTAAATATCTTGAGGCATAAGACAGTGTTGTGGGAATTAGGTGTTTAGCAGAGTCATGGCATGGGGAGAAAAACTCTCCCTGTTTCTGGTTGTTTTGGCATGCAATGCCCTGTGAAGGCGTCCTGAGGGAAGAAGTGGAAAGTTTATGTCCAGGATGTGAGGAATCTGTAGATATTTTCTCAGCCTTCTGGCTTGTGCAGTATACAGGTAGACCTTGACTTACAACAGGGCACTGAAAAAAGTTGACTTATGACCATTTTTCATACTTACAACCATTGCACCATCCCCATGGACACATGATTTAAATTCGGACACTTATAAATTTTGGGCTCAATTGTGGTCCTAAGTTGGCTTGGGTGGACCTGTACCGTCCTACATCCACTTTTCCGTTTTAGTTATTATATGCTGAATTTTCCTCTACTTTTTATCTCCAAATTCTCAGAATAAACCAAAATCGGAAGACGCTCCAGCATGGAGTATATTGCGAGACGATTACATGATGGGAGCTTCAATGAAAGACTGGGATAAAGAAAGCGAAGAGGAGGACAATGCTGGAGGAGACAGTGATATTAAGCAGGAGATCGAAAGTGATTCAGATCGATAATAATCAGAGTCATCCAGAAATCCAAGGGTATTTTTGATACTATGTAGGGATTGGGGCTTAAAGGACGCTGTTTTATACAAAGACCGCTTTAAAGAACATGAAATTTCTTGAGTTGGGCAGCCAATAAATTTAACTAAATAACAGTAACGAGTTCGCTAACTTCCTGTGGCAATATTGGGTCAATTCAGCCAATCAAAATGCCATTGCATAGTTACGATTATTTGTAAGCTACCTGGAATCCTAAACTCGAGGGGGTTGTACATATATCTACATGCTGTACCTTTGCAGTTAGGAAGAAGATGGGTTTTGTAGTGGAAACTAGATTGACGGCCCCATTAGGCACCCATCATTAGATCAGTCATTTTACTTTGCAGGTTTATTTGAGGTTTTACCGACTTAATGTCTTTATTTATATATTGACTTAGTGAAAGCCTGAGATCATAAGAAGATTTTGCTAAGAGTTGCTCTATAATGGCTCAGTCACACCTGCCTGGCACCAGTTAAAAGCAAATTACTTCAATTAGCTCAATGAAGCAAGAGTATTTCTTTCTTTCTTTTGTTTGTTTCTTACTTAGAAAACAGGTCAAATAGACTACTTCTGTAATAGGAGACGAGATATATTTATCCTTTTCCCTTATTTATAAAAGCATCTGTTAAGTGCTGATTTTCATTCGATTTATTTCAAATCTGAGAAACCCAGGGAGAAAACTTTCATTTGTGGTGTCAGTGGAAAACAGAGGTTTTGAGGAAATGTGCAAATTTAGGAGAATGAATTCCATGATTCCTGCTGACTCATTCCATGGACTTAAGCAGCCATTTGGCCTTTCAGAAGAAAAGTATAACTAACAAAAAAGTTCTTTGTTATATAGGCTGCCTATTTTGCCTTCTTTTCTGTGTATACAAGTATTCCTCTCCAGTTGTTAAGTGAGCCCAGTGTTCACATGGCCCGGTTGCTGGAAACCAGAAATAAAAAACAGTTTCCGGCAAAACTGTTGTAAACCATGGTCATGTGACCATGAGGGCACTGCACACAGCTGTAAATGTGGGCCAGTTGTTGTGCAACCAAAATACAGTGTGACTACCAGTTGGGGCAACTTTAGAACTTTGAACAGTTCCTAAGCAAGCAGCTGTAAATCAAGGGCTACTTGAATATACCTACAACTTGAAAGAATAATATATTGCTACATCAAGAGCAATAATTGCTATTGCTGAACTTATGTTTTTTTAATTAGTCCCTAAAATTTGTCTTCTTAATTCCCATAAATATAACATTACAAGTAAACATAGTTAATACTCCCCCTAAGCTGTGTCAGTAGAATATGGAAGTAGATGCAGCCTTTCAAGTTTCAATCCTATATTGTTGCCATATGAATTAATATGTATAGGCAGAGCATAATGTATAAATGAAAAAAATGCAAGCATTTGCTGTTCTTAATGCAAAATTCATATCTTGAGCAAACAGTTGTAAAGAACTGGACCCTAATTCTGTCTTCTATGAAAAAAAAACTGAGCAGAGGAAAAGACGCAAATGTTTGTATATTGAACAGTATTATTTTTCTCTAAAAAAATCAATTCCTGACACATTTCTGTGTCAATCAAAAGTTAAGGGGAATGCTAAAACTTTTACAATATTGTGATTATGAAATTTTTATCTGTTTTTGTCCCTTTCCTATGATTAATGTGTGTAACCTGCCTAGAGTTACCTTGATATTTGGGGCTGCAAAAAAATAAATAAGATGAAATATTAAAAGTGATTAAACGTTGATACACGTGATTAAAAGTTTTATCTTCTTTTCAGATGTTTGGTCTGCTTCATTAGGAAAAACTAGATTGTATTGTGTTAAAATGGGGGTGATGTAAATTTGTAAATGTAAAATTTGATGTAAATTTTTTTATTTGCATTTTGTTTTTCAGCAGTTAGCAATTATTTTGTTTAGAGAAAGAACCGAGCAATTTCCAAAAAGGGCACCTCTTTTCCCTACCCCAAAAAACCCCAAAACTTGAAGAAAACATTAAAATAGCTGAGGAAAAAAAAACACATCCAGCTTTTGACCCCTTAAAAGAGAAAGTTCCTTTGATTCTCCCTCAGTGACCTTCATAGGTCATAGTCTTTTAATACGTTAGATTTCACTTGACTTGTCCTTAATTAATTCCAATAATTTAACTGGATTAGACCATTGAAAGAAAAATGGAATAATAAAATTTTAATCAGACCAGATTTTGGCCTTTTTAAAGGGAAGATAACAGTGATGCAAAGCTGTTAAACTTACATCTTACTCCTGAATATGCAGTTTGTAGGGGGAGGTGTTTCTAGTTCTGAGTAGGACATCTGTCAACATACCGTAATTTAAATTTGAATGATTATTTCCTTCCTTTAATGTTGGAAAACCAACTTTTCGTATGAGGCTCTTCTGATGAAAGACGCATTTCCACATGTATTTGATTTTTAAAAAAATATTAAGCTCATAATGCCATGTTGCCGTGTTTCATTTTTTCCTTCGTATTCTAAATCTAAAACAATGTTTTCTTTTGTTAGTCCAGAATATAGTCTTGCTGAGCTTTCATTGCATGGCCTAACAGTAACTCCTGCTGTTGTGTGTGTGTGTGAGAGAGAGAGAAGGAGAGAGAAATCCCATTTATTCTAAACAAGTAACATTTTTAAAAAGGATTATTCTCTGCTCACTTAGACAAAACCCATCTTAATTCTGGCAAACCCTAATGCCAAATGTTTTCAACTCAAAACAATTTGAACTTAAAATGGTTTCATATACCCATCTGTTCTGAATTCAAAACGTTTTAAGCTTGAAACGGGGGTTCCAACTTTATTGGAAATGATTTATTTGTGTTTTTTGACCAAGGAAAAATTCCTAATTTTATGAGCTAGCCAAGACTTCATCAGAGCAGAAACCAGTGGCTGCTAACAACCAGATGGAATTTGGCATCGGCTGCAGTAATTGTGGCAAACAATCGTGATTTCAAGTCTGTCAGCAAAGTTTCTTGAACAACTCACTTTCTCTAAAAAACCCCATAATGTTTCTACTCCCTTGATTTAGTACTCATCATTCAGAGGTAGGACTCACTGTCTACTAATCAACTCTGGGAAGCTCCCAATCAAAAGTTAAACAGCATATAAAATCATATTAAAACTATAAGTCTTAAGTGCTATTGCTATTTGTAGTTCAGGGTTCAAATGAAGCATCATTTGGTTGTTTTCTTGCAGACGTTTTATTACCCAACTGTAGGTAACATCAGTTCACTGAGTAATGAAACATCTACAAGAAAACAACCAAGCTCAGAAAGCACCAAGGATCCTTCATTTCAACCGAGCTATAAATAGCAATAGAACTTAGACTTATATAAGGACCTCTCATTTCCAACTCCTACCGTGTTTCCCTGAAAATAAGACCCTGTCTTATTTCTTTTTTTTAAACCCCAAAATAAGTGCTTGGCCTTATTTTCAGGGAGGTTTTATTATTTTGGGGCACGTGGATCAAGACGGGGCTCCTCTTGCCGTCTTACCTAATTTCCAGCTCTGTCTCCCTAACCCTAACCAGAGGAAATGGCGGGGACCGACTGCGCATACATTTAAATATTTTTGGGGAGGGCTTATTATCAGGGAGGGCTTATTGTAGCACATGCGCTTAAAAGCCTGATTGGGCTTATTATCCAGGGAGGTCTTAATTTCGGGGGACGGTATTAGATGACACTCTGGGGGAAGGGATTAAGAGCAGGCCCATCCTATTTGACCTGGGAGGACAGATAAATGTCTTTAGGGAAAGATGGCCCTACCAATAACCTGGCCCTGTGCCATTTAGGGCTTTAAGGGTAATGACCAGCACCTTGAATTGCACCTGGAAAGAAACTACAAGACAGTGGAGTGGAGTTCTTGTAACATACGAGCAAGGCTATCCCATTTACTGTTCACACGGCTGCATTCTGGACCAGTTGACCTTCTGCTCGTGGCTCCTGTGCCACTGAATACTTTCACCACACCCTGCTTTATTGTTCCTTACCTAAAGGTAATCTACCAACATAGAATTGGCCCTGATTAGAAACACTCCCAGTCAGGTAAATCTAATGCATTTTGTTAAAGATCATGTGGACAACCAAGACTCAAATGAGCCACTCTCAATTTACAAAGTTTTGCTACTCCACCTGAAACTCTGCACTGGGATCTATTTTATAGCTGCGTAGATTAGAGGTCTCCTTGATGCAGGATATTAAAAGTCTGTAGCTCACAGCAACTTTTATTGTAAATTACAACTGCTGTTTACAGCGACTAATAAAGTTTTACACCCTGCTTTAAATCTTTTACACTGCTAGCGAATTCAATAGCCTGCTCATTTCTGATCTGGACAAAAAGCTTGAAACCCCCAAAGCATCATTTATGGTTGAGTAAATCCAGGAGGACTCCCTGTATCAGGCAAATAACAGAATAACAGAGTTAGAAGAGGTCTTGGAGATCTAGTCCAACCCCTTGCTCAGGCAGGAAACCCTATACCATTTCAGACAAATGATTGTCCAATCTCTTCTTAAAAACTTCCAGTGTTAAGAGCACCCACATCTTCTGGAGGCAAGTTGTTCCACTGATTAATTGTTCTCGCTGTCAGGAAAGAATACTAGATCTATTTTTATTATAAGGTTACATTAATAAAATCTGTCAGGAAATTTCTCCTTAGTTCTAAATTGCTTCTCTCCTTGATTAGTTTCCACCCATTGCTTCTTGTCCTGCCCTCAGGTGCTTTGGAGAATAGCTTGACTCCCTCTTCTTTGGGGCAGCCCCTGAGATATTGGAAGACTGCTATGGTGTCACCCCTAGTCCTTTTCATTAAACTAGATGTACCCAATTCCTACACTTTTTGTATGTTTTAACTTCTAGTCCCCTAATCCTCTTTGTTGTTCTTCTCTGCACTCTTTCTAGAATCTCAACATCTTTTTTTACATCATGGTGACCAAAACTGAATGGCAATATTCCAAGTGTGGCCTTACCAAGACATTATAAAGTGGTATTAACACTTCACGTGATCTTGATTCTATCACTCTGTTAATGCAGCCTAGAATTGTGTTGACTTTTTGGGCAGCTGCAGCACACGGCTGGCTCAAATTTAAGTGATTGTCCACTAGGACTTCAAGATCTCTCTCACAGTTACTACTCTTGAGCGAGGTACCACGTAGACTGTACCTGTGCATTTTGTTTTTCTTGCCTAAATGTAGAACCTTACTTTTTTCACCATTGAATTTCGTTTTGTTAGATAGCATCCAATGTTCAAGTCTGTCAAGATCCTTCTGTATCTTAAGCCTATCTTCTGGAGTGTTGGCTATTCCTACCAGCTTGTTGTCATCTCCAAATTTAATGAGTTCCCCATCTATCCCCTCATTCAAATCATTGATGAATATGTTAAAGAGTACTGGGTCTAAAACAGAGCCTTGGGGTACCCCGCTGCATACTTCCCTCCATGTAGATGCAGTTCCATTGAGTGCATCCAACAAGATTCAGTTGAGGTTAATTCTTTTTGTATTCCAGCCTAGAGATGAGAATTTAGAGTGGCATGGCAAAAATGGGCTGTTCTACACTTTTTCCTGGATTTTTTTCCCTTCAATCCTGTCGGTGAACTGGGCATAAAAAAAAACACAAAACCTTGGAGAAGGATAACTTGTGGGCACTTTCACAAAATGGCTGCCATGGTTGAAGCTTGCCCATGCAGGAGGGTAAATGAGCGCAGAGATATTTTCCAGTATGCTATTTAGCCCCCCCAAATGCGCTTTAGGCCACCGCAAAGTTGATTTTTTTTCTGGCCACACATACTTTCCAGTAAAATACATATTTGGCTATTCTGATGATGTCCCAGATTTAAAATAAGGACATTTTGATCACGTAAGTGACTTTTTTCAGTGCCGTGTAGCTTCAAATGGTCACTAAATAAATGGTAGTAAATTGAGGACTATTTGAAACAGGTTTGCCATAATAGAAGGTTGTATAAACGGAGGCATAGAATCAAAATCTGGGACAAACTTTTATGCAACATTTCATGTTAAGCTGCTTAACGATTGCACCTAGATAATATATGCAGTCATTTCAGATTTGCCTCAACCCAGTGTGAAAAGCCCTTGAATTTCAGAAGAGTTCACCTGGGGTAGAACTTTATGAAGGTTACAACGTAAAGTTGCCCCAGCTGCCCCTTTCTGTACCAACAGAAATCTTAGTACCTACAGGTAGTCTAATTACATGGGACAATCATTCCGAATTAATGCAGGTCTTAGTAAAGGAAAAGCATAGCTAATACTGTAATCCTGACCTAAATTCTATTCTTTTGCAACACGCTGGAAAGCAACACTAAAATTTCCCAGAAAGTGGCTTCAACAAACTTGTCTTTGCAAGTTTATACAGTTAGTCCCTGACTTACAACCTTTCGGTTAGTGATCGTTTCAAAGTTACAAATGCACTGAAAAAAGTTATGGTCATATCATCAAAATTTGAGTGCTTGGCCATCAGCACTTATTTACAATAGTTGTAGTGTCCCAGAATGATCACCATTTGTGACCATCCCAGCTGGCTTCTGGCAAGCAAAGTCAATGGGGAAAGCTCGATTCACTTAATGACTGCATGGTTTAACTAACAATTGCAGCAATTTGCTTAACCATGATGTAAAAAGGATGTACATTTGGGCACGAGTCACTTAACTGCCTCACTTAACCGCAGAAATTCTGGCCTCAGTTGTCATTAAGTCAAGGACTACCTGTAATTTTGCATCATGCAAGGTAGGTTTATGCTCCCTTTAAATAGTGAACAACGTACAAATTTTTTTTTGTCCTCCAAACATAAAAATATTGGTATATAAGATAAAGTGCTTTGTATGGAGATTCACTTATTGTGGGAAGGCACAACAATTTGTTTAACCTGGTTGTCTTTTGTAGTGAGTGAATTCTGTCTCAACATGTCGTGTAAGCCTATAATTGAGATGGAGTTGTGCAAATTATGTCCTGACATGTTGTATGTATTACAGACGTAGAATAGAGAAATCAAGTTGCAGAAGGAAGTTGGCCATATAATTATTACCCTTTGGGCCACCATCCAGTATTTGCTCAAACCTCTGATTGCGAAAATCAAGAGTGCACATTGTCAGTATCAAAAGTATGAATATAACCTTTGTTCAGAGGCATTCCCATGTCATGCTAACCCATAAAATAATGTAAAAAGTCTTGACACACTATAAACTGGATTCATACGACCCACTAGTCATATGACTCAGCGGTGAAGGTTTAATATTAAATGAAGCACAGGTAGCCCTCAATGTCTATGGAGAATTTCTGGCTTTTCTGGCTTTTCTTTGAAGAAGTTTCGCTTCTCATCCAAGCTTCTTCGGTTCTTGGATGAGAAGCGAAACGTCTTTAAAAAAAAACAGCAGAAAATCCAGTTGTCTCTTGAAAAAGCACCTTTGGGACAGGTAGGCCCTCAGCTTACAACCACGATTGGTACCCAGAATTTCAGCTGCTAAGCAAGCTGATTGTTGAAAGACCTACACCCAATTTTACAACTTTTTTTTGCCAGTTATTAAATGAATCATGAATCTAACTTCCTCCAATTACTCTGCTTGTCGGCTGGGAAGGTCGCAAATGGGAATCAGATGACCCTAGGATGCTGAAACCATCATAAATACATGCCTGTTGCCAAGCAGCTGATTTTTGACCACATGAACCTGGAGATGCTGTGATGGTCATAAATACAAGGACCAGATTATAAATCACTTTTCTCCGGGCTTGTTGTTATCTTTGGTTGCTAATTACATGGCAAAATAAATACAAAATTATGCATATACCCACATATATTATATGACACAGTGAAACAACACCGTCTAGTTCAGATGTATTCACATACATAGCGAGAAAAACAAATCTTGCGAGTTTACCAGGAGGATGGCATCGGGAAGAAAGCTGTTACAGAATCAGGTAGTCCTGATATAGAAATACTTCGAACCTCCTCCCAGAGGGGAGCAACAGAAACAGACTGTGCAGGGGGGCGGGGGGGGGTGTCTCTAACAAAGCTTTAAGCTCTAACCACATAGCATTTATAAGCAGTATCCTGTATAATAGGAAAGGAGCTTCCTATAATCTTCTCCACTGTCCTCACCACTCTCTGTATGGACTTTCTATCTGAGCCAGTGCTACCTCAAAGTCCGGATATTGGAAATTTAGACAGTCCAGCTTGACATGAGCCTACTTATCTCCGGCGCTAGGCTTCCAAACTTCAGAAACACAACCACAACCGCTTTATTTCATGTCCTTTTTATTTCTCAGGCTCCCCCTCCACCCATAATTAGGTGTATTATACCCCCTCCCAAAAAAGCCATGCACTTTTACATCCAGGAAGTCAAACTGGCATGCCCAGCAATTGCCACAGTGCATCTTTCATGCAGACGAACCTCGGGGGGCTGCCACCCACACGATGGCAGACTGTGGTCACCCTTCCATTCGTGTGTGTTGGGGGGGGAGAGAAATCACCCTCTATGCACCCCCCTCCTCCAGCGGTGTCAGATTGCTGCCAGTTTCCCAAGGTTGCAACTGCAGCAGCAGCTGTTGTGGCCCAGAGGTGGAGCTCTTGCCTCAACAATCAGGAGGTTGTGAGTTCGATCCTAGGTAAAGGCAGATGTAGGGTCTCCTGCTTGGGCACAGGATTGGATTTAGATGACCTGCCAAGGTCCCTTCCAACCAGGAGTGAAATGTAAAATTTGTTACTACCGGTTCTGTGGGTGTGGCTTGGTGGTGGTGGGTTAATGTGACGGGTGGCCGTGGCCAACTTTTTTTTTAAAAAAAACTTTTCAAAGCATTTTTTCTAATGCTTTGAAAAGCCTCTGCGGATCAGGCAACTCAGCTGGGATGGTCAAAGCATTTTTTTTTTACCACCTCTTCGGCCAAGAGGTTGCAGAAAAAAATGCTTTGAAAAGCCTCTGACCATCCCAGCTGAGCCGCGCGATCATCAGAGGCTTTTTTGTTACTTCTAAAAGCATTTTTTTTTGTGGGAAGAGGTTGTAGAAAAAATCCTTTTAAAAGTAAAAAAACCAAAACAAAACAGCCTCTGACGATTCAGCGGCTCAGCTGGGCATGGTGGTGGTGGTGGTGGGGAGCATGCAGGGATTTTTGCTACCGGTTCTCCAAACCACCTGCCTGCCATCGCTACCGGTTCAGGCAATCCGGTCCGAACCGGGAGCATTTCCCCCCTGCTTCCAACTCTGTTAAAAGCAGTCCTTCTGAAGGACGCCCAACGCGGCTCCAGCCAGACTCGGATAATAACAGCGGCAGGTTGTCTCTTGGTGGATTCCCCAAGCAGCCAATGATGAAGCGGGGCGATCCGCTCAGGCCACTGCCGTCTCCTTATTGGCTCCTCCCTCCAGGGCTGGCCTGATTGGTGACGCCCACGGCTTGGGGTGAGTGCGCCGCGCCAATGGGGAGAGCGCGTGTGGCTTGCGCCGGGGACGGGGAAGTGGGTTGGGGAGGGGGAGCGAGAGAGAGGGAGAGGAGGGGGAAGCCGGGGAGGGGTTAGAGGGGATTGACCTGGAGTAACCTGCCCCATCGCCCCAGGCCCGGGAGGGATGCTCCCAGCGGATTGTGGCCGCCGAAGGGAGCCCGGGAGATCGCGGAGAGCCAGCGGGAGGAGGCTTTGCCATTTGCAAAGTGGGAGCCAGCACCAGGAGGAGCCTGCCTGCGGCCGGGCTCTTGCACCCATGCGCTCCCGCTGAATGGGAGAGCGCCCGCCCGCCGTCTCGTCCACGCCACCCGCCGGAGCATCATCCGCCGTTTGCTGCGCCAGGCCCGGAGAGCACGCAGGGGATCCCCGCTTCTGGCTCAGGTGAGAGAAGGGCGCCCCCTTTAGGGAGGGCGGGCGGCCCTAGTGGGGGGGAAGGATCGGGGTCGATCCCCGAAGAGGCTCCCCGCCTCTCGCTCTCTTTCTTTCCCCGCTTTTGTTTCACTCCGACCGGATCTCCCTTCCCGCCGCTGCTGCTGCTGCTGCTGAGGATCGAAAACAGGTGGTCTCTGGCAAAGGGATCTCCTCTCCAGGGGCGCAGGAGATCCAGATCAAAGGTGGGGGTGGGGTGGGGTGGGGAAGACTCCTGGAGGGATCTCCCAACCGGCTCATGATCCCTTGCCCTCCTCCAGCAAAAGAAACATTTCCTCCTGCAGGTTTACCAAAAGAAATATTTGCTGGGAGTGGGATCTGGTGGTTTAAGCCGGGTGAATTTGGGTAAGGGGTTGTTTTTGAGGGGGGATCGGGAAGAAGGGATGCTTTTGTGAAAGGTGGGGAGAATGGGATCCGGCTCCAAGGAAAAGAGCCGCAGAGTTTGTTCTCCACCCTCACTCAAGAGGGATCAGCGTGGTACAAAAGTGGTTTGTTGGAACAACCCTGTGTAAATAAGCCGGCTGGTTTTGGGAACTGATGCTGATGATGAAATTGTAGTCAGACGCGTCTGGAATGAAAAGTAAAAGGGGGAAAGTCAAGATCGTTTATTTAAAGCGGCGTTTCTCAACTTTTTAAGATGTGTGGACATCAAACTCCCAGGATTCCCCAGAGTGGACGTTGGCGGAGGAATTCTGGGAGTTGAAGTCCACGCATCTTAAAAAGTTGAGAAACGCTGCTTTAAAAAAGTCGCGGAAGTGTCTTCCCTCTGCTGACTGCACTTGTATTTGATTGTGCTGTTCTTACCAGATATGGAAACCTCAATCTCGGCCTTCTTACTGATCAAGAAGCGGTTCGGGATTTTAGGGAGCTGCAGACGCAGGACCTCCGTTCTTTGCTTTCAGAAGGATGTGGGTGCATTGATTTTTGGGAGAATTGGACTAAGGCCCAGCTCTCAAACCTCCATGGAGGCAGGGATCTTTCCAAGAGCCCAAACTGGAAGGAAACGGGAAGACCTGTTAGTAAAAGCAAATATAAATCGTTCAACAGGTGTTTCAGGGATGGAAAGTTAGCTAGAGGCTTTTCATTACCTTTTCAACCTATTTTACCCCCAGTGCCCCAATCCTTTTAATAGATCTGGTTGCTGGTTAGAATGAAAAATCAAGAGAAGGGTCTAGAATGGGCTTGGAAATGGTCTCCTTTGAGTTCCTTCATGGGGATTCAAGATCATGGACCGTAATCTTATTTTTGGCAGCAATAGCAAAGTGATTTAGCCTTGCTCTTTGTCTTCTTTTTGTTCTTTTAGTCAAAAGCCCTGAGGGATTTTTTTAAAATTTTTGGTGATCACATCTCCAAGGAAAATCTAGCTTGTCCCAATTTATTTATTTAATTAGATTTTTATTCCATCTTTATTACTTTATAGGTAACTCAAGGCAGGGGACACATACTTATTTCTCCTTTCTCCTCCTGCCTTTCCCACAACAACCCTGTGAGGTAGGCTGAGAGAGAATGACTGGCCCAAAGGCTTTTTCATGCGTAAGGTTTATATTTCCAAAGTCAACTAAAATTTGACTTTCTCTCTTTCTTCCTTTTCTCTCTTTCTTTTTACTCTTTCACTCCCTCTCTCTTTTGCTACATCTCCTTTCTTTTTTCTTTCTTTCTTTCTCTCTCTTCCTTTTTCTTTCTTTCTCTGTGGCATGGCATGATTTGAAATATGCTGAGTGTTCTTCCCAAATGCCCGAACTGAAATAATATATAAACATCTGTGTGGGTAGTCATGGGAATGTGAATTAAAGTGGTTTGATCAAGATCTTTCCTGAAGCTAGATAATCTCTACAGATGTAAAAACATCTGTTCATGTCTTCTGTTCTGACATTCACAGGCTTTTATAATTCAAATCTCAACCAGCTGAAATCTGTCTTCGGTAGTTTCAAAGTTTTTCATCCGATACCTGTGGTCACCTGCTTTTTAATTCATTTTTTTAATCGTCCCAGACATTATAGGCAGAATAAACATTCTCTGTACCATCGTTCAGGTATTTGTTGAATAGAATTGCCACTGAGTCTTATGTGCCGGCAGAGTTTATTTATTTATTTATTATTTATTAATTTTATTTCTATACCGCCCTTCTCCCGAAGGACTCAGGGCGGTGTACAGCCTAATTAAAAACACAAAGACAGACAATATTTAAAAATAATTAAAATTATTAAATAATAGGCCCAATTTATAAAACCCCGAATTTAAAATCCCATTTAAAACCAATTAAAATCTTTATATTGATAGCCCAGTCTGGCGGAACAACATGGTTTTGAGGGCGCAGCGAAATACACGGAGATCACGGAGAGTTGTAGAATGGTTCATACCCACTTTGCCATGAATTAAAAAAAATGCAATTTTCCTGAATATTTTAATAGAAAAATATGTAAAGGGGAAAAAATTGCAATTTCAAGAATCAGGGAGGTCCCAAGGCTATGGCGTAGCCTCTGTGAATTTTCCTTCCTTAGAATTATTGTTTCAATAAAGGAGAATATTGGTAGCTCAGGGCTGAAATTTGGGGTCCTTGGTGCTTTCTGAACTTGGCTCTTTTCCTACGGACCTTTCATTACCAAACTAGGTAACATCATCAGTGTTAGTAGGGAGTGGAGTTGGTTCTCATTTTATATAAACAGAGAGCAAACCTTCTGGGTACCCTCTAGTTTGGGTAATGAAACCAAGGTGCATCATCATTGCATCAAACTAATTACTATCAAGCAAAGATTATAATCATGAAACCTGTTATCAAAATGCTGATTCCTTTGTTAGATTTCCCCCCGGCTTTTCCCATAGCACGTATACGATTCTGATCGTCTCTGATTTTGTCGCCACAGCAACAACCTTAGGAAGTAGATTTTGCTGAGAAAGGGACTGGCCCTAAGTCACACAGGGTCTTTCCAGCCCGAAGGGGGGGATTGGGAACTAAATTCCTCTATTCCAGGCGTGTCAAACTCAAGGCCCGTGGGCCGGATTCATCCCTTAGGGTGCTTAAATCTGGGCTGTGGGGCCGGCCTGGAAATAGCAAAGGACCAGCCCGCTGTGCCTCTGCTAGTGAAAACGGGGCGTGGGGGGAGAGCCCTATTTTTGGGCTTGATGGCTTCCTGCAGCACACTGCCAGCCAAAATGGACCGCGGAGGGGGCTCATGTGGCCCCCCCACACCCTGTTTTGGCAGACAGGGTGCTGCAGGGGGTGTCTGTCCCATCTCACCCCCCTTCCCTCCCATCCCCCAAGCCGGCTCGCAGTGGAGAACTACAATGCTGATTCGGCCCTTGAAGAAATCCAGTTTGTCATTCCTGCTCTATTCCTTCTTCAGCACCTTAAATCATTATGTTGGAAGTTTGGCTCTATGTCCGTATAGCGAACCTATGGCACGGGTGCCAGAGGTGACACGCGGAGCCATATTGGTGGGCACTCGAGCTCAGCTCCGGCACGCATGTGTGCGCCAGCCAGCTGATTTTCAGGCCTTCTGGGGCCACCAGAAGTCAGGAAACAGTGTTTCCGGCCTCCAGAGGGCCTTGGGGGGGGGAAGGCCGTTTTTGCCTTCCCCAGGCTCTTAGAAAGGCTCTGGAGCCTGGGGAGGGCAAAAAAACGGGCCTACCGTGCCCACCATGCCATCGCGTGCCAAAAGCGGGGGGGAGCAAGTGGGGGGGCGCATAGAATTATGGATGTGGGCACGCGTGCGTGTGACCCCACCGCACTCCCCCCGTTTTTGGCATGTGATGGCAAAAAGGTTAGCCATCACTGGCTCTATGTGGTGGTTAAACGCATGAACCGTGCAAATAGAAATTTAGATTAAAATTTAGGTCCTGGCCTCTGATTGCCTCCTAGCGAATAATACCTAGTTTGCCTATTTTATCTGTGATAAAGCAGCAAGTGCTCATTTAATGGATTTATCAGAATGAAACATCATTCAGTAGCTTTCATTCGTAACTAAATACAGATAGTCCTTGACTTACAACCAATCGTTTGGCAACCGTTTGAATTTACAGCTGCACTAAAAAAAAAAGACTTAACAATATTTACAACTGTCTTGGCCTTCCCCACAGTCACATGATCAAAATCCAGGTGCTTGATAAGGTGGCAGTGTCCTGGGTCATATGAGAAACACTGATCTAGAGAATTTATTTAATTAAATTTATTTGCCGCCTATTTCACTACGAGGTGACTTGACTTAACAATGTAAAAAAACAAAACAATGTTGAATGTATATTGAATTTACATATAAACATCATCTGATAACGGGAAAATAATACTGCGTAACATTTTAAGAAGGTATTGAATTATAACATCAAAAGTTAGAAGGTGCCTTAGAGATTATGTACTCTGTCTGTTCAGTGTAAGATCTACCAGAACTATCTCTGACATTCAGTCACAGGTGAAGGAGACTACACCTCTACCAGCTAACAATTCCTGTAGTCAGGAAGTTATTCCTGATGTGTGAGGTCTCTGGTGCTTTCTGAGCTTTTCTTGCAGACGTTTCATTACCAAATTAGATAACATCATCAATGCCAGAAGGGAGTGAAGTCTTTCTGAAGCCTAGCCTGAATCTTTTTCCTTCTAGTTTAAACTCGGTGATTCTAATCTTAAGTCTGTTATCTATTCTGTAAGATAAGGTTTCAGATATTTGAAGATTGCTATAGTATCTCCTCTTAGTCTTTTTTTTCCCCTTTGGTGGTTATGAGGGGATTAAATTCTGCATATACATTATTTATTTATTTATTTATTTATTTATTGGTTCAATTTATATGCCACCCTTTTCTGGAGACTCAGGGTGGCTTACAATGCGTTAAGCAATAGCCTTCATACTTTTGTATATACCTGCTTAGTAGGGCTTTCGGCCCCCTCCCAAGTGGTGTTCTTTTTTATAAAGTCATCTTATTGCCCTCACAAACCAGGTCCTCATTTTACCTACCTTGAAAGG